TAAAAAAGGTTTGTTCCACCTCTTACGTTCTAGATTCAAAATCCATTGAAGTAGGTTTTGGCCTTCATCATCTTCACACATGCCGAACGCCCCAAATTTTTATATATAGTGTGAGCTGCTTCAAGCCTTTGTTGAATGAAATTTTCTTGAATATACTATACCAAACAACAAGACATTAAACATGAATAGTGTATTAGGTCTGCAATGTATATTCTAAATGTTGGCTTGGTGCTTTAATGAGGTGACAGCCTAGCTAATGAACTGATTTTATTTATTAATACATAACACAACAATGTTGTTTCTACGCAGACGCCGAACGTCTGCGTGTAATATCATCATGTAAAGGTTGATGATTCATCATTGATCGCTCGATGTCGAGGTATTCTCGACGTCCTTTTTCTAAACGACTAACTAAGTATTTCAACTGATGCCTGAGCCGGGGATGATCAGGCTACCGCTGCCGGAACAATCAACGAACTGAATGATCTGTCGGAATCATCAAGGAGTAGAAGACACTCAGATCGGGCATAAGTAGAAAAAAGCCATCGACGAGGATGCGCTGCGGGTGTCCCCGTTAAATCCAAATCCCCCAAAAAGAACTGAGCCAATAATGAGTCGACGAAGCAAGAAAAAAGAGAATACGAGTGGCTGACCATTCGAGCTGATCTGGTAGGAGAGAGAACCGATGACGGAAGGCGGCGTACGCCTTCCATGGCGTTTCAGTCTTTACAAAGACAAGGGTGCTTGGAAGACAGAGCACAGATGACAATGACGAGAAGACAATTGGAAACAGCAGCAGTAGTGGTGGCACGAAGAATGCCATGATACAGTTTTCCTGAATGGGAGAAGAAAAGTAGCAGCAAAATAGGCACGGGAATAGGCGGATTCCGCTGGTTTTCTTTTGGAGTTATGGGTTGGGTTTCGCGGTCGCTCGAAAAAACTGCTAAAAAAAAAATAGGAAAATCGTCGAAGAAACAAGCTCCTACCGCCCATGTTATTTCTGCTTTCAGCAAAGCCGGTAAAATTGGCTCATTAAATGCGCGCGATATTACTACCTTTCTTAGGCTCCTACACGACTCTTTATACTTATTTAAGTGAAGACCGCGCCCGCGGCAAAAGACCTCACAGGTGCGTCTTTCCTGTCTCTACCTGCTAAGCCTGTGTGGTGAGGCTCCGCTGTGCAAGGCCGAACCGAATAAGACCTGTCGACAGGACAAGGCCGATTCGAAAAGGAATGAGGAAAGATTTAGGACATAGTGCACCGTACCAATAACTCCTTCTCCTCTTTTCCTCATTTGCATGCGGAACGCCTCTACCATCAGCGTGGAGGCAGGGAGCGCCACTACCGGCGTCAGCAGTAGTACTATCAGCGGTGCCGCAGCTCCAGTCGCCCCCGTCCTCTCATTTGCGTCGACGAGGCAAAAGGCTGCGCTTATGGCTGTTGAAACTGTACAGGCTTGCTATAATAGGCAGCGAAGAGCGAACGCGAAAAAAAAGACAAAGGTAGAGTGACACAATTGGCTTGGGAATGGTAAAAAACATCAATAGCTTGAGGAACGATTTGGTGGAACCAGCGGGAAGCGGGCGCTATTAGACAGACGAACTAGCTTAGTAAGAACGTGGTAACTGTTAAAGGTGGTAACATCAGAGGTAAGTAGAGATTGACGAGTTGCATAACGCTATTGCATTTGTTGTGAGACGGCCAGAGACATACTTGGCTAGGAAGGGGGGGACTTCCTGGAGAGGATCGATGAATGCAGGCTGGACAGACGGGGTAGGCATCATGAGGGGAGAATTACCTAGCCAGAAGAGGTTTCTGACTTGACGGGTCGGGTGGAGAAACGCTGCACGTTTGCTGAATACGTCAGGGATCGTTAGTTGCCCTCAATGGGAACCGGTCGCTATTCGAGACAAAACACAAAAAAGAAAGGCAGTGCCAAAGGGAGCGGACTTTTAGCAGAGGCGCTCGACGCTACCAGAACGCGATTCAAGCCTTAGTGCTGCGGATAACGATGGGCAGCGCTGGTGCCAGTGGACTTGGCGTAGTCATAAAGTTACATTGAAATCACATTGCGTGTGCCAGCTATATATGCATAACATATGTTGAATTGTCGTCTTTATATCGGTTATTAGCTAGCTAACGAGTTGAGACGTGGTCAAGAAGGCCAGGTGGTTAGAACAGACGCAAGGAGGCTAAAATATAGAAGCGAAAACATTAAAACAGAAAATCCTTTAGCGATTTGAATATATGTTGTTGAGTATGTGCCCAGTTAAAAAAAGCCGTGTTTCAGTTAGCCCGAAGAACAACATCCATGATGTTGTGGTATTTCGATAAATCGTTATGGCAGTTAGACAAGTAGTAACAAAAATATTGTCTATTGAACAGGCACGCAAACAAGAACAAATGCATGAGACAATTCGTTCAAAGCTGCCGATAATTGAAACTCATATCGCGGAGTTACGGTAAGCGACAGAGAGCAAAATATAGGCGCGACATCACAAAGCGTATTCGTCCCTACACGAACGTTTGCGTTGTGGCCTCATTTATATATATATATATATATATATATATATATGCGGTATATCTTGTTCCTCCCCTTTGTAAGCGATAACTGTTATTTGTTTCGCAAAACTCTCTCGGTAATTTGGTACATTTCCGGAGAAAATCTAAGAGAAGCTCAGCCGACAACGAAACAAGGGAGGAAAGTCCGACAATCGTGGCTCGATCGTTAGTAGCTTAAGTAACTGGCTATTGGAGCATAATTATTCTATACTTAGGCATTTCTTTCTATTCTTTTAGCCATCGCCAGAGGCCTCTATTCCTATATACGTCTTCGCTAGAAACAGCCGAGCAAATTCCTAGAGTTACTGTGCGGATTCAGCATTGTTCTAAGAGTGCTTCGTCAGGCTTCCGACCACGATACACTCGGAAGTAACACTTCCACTGCACCTATTTACGTGACTACAGCATTAAACAAGGCAGCTGCACTGAGCTCCCCTAATGTAACATTATATGATATATTAGCAGGCCTTCAGGCAAAAAAACTAACAGTAAAAAAATGTGCTTTCATTTCCAAAACAGCCTTTTTTTGAAGCTTAATAAACAGGCCATATGCCAGTCTTTATTTTTCTCTAACCAGTTCAAGTTTAGTGTACCGTGACGCACTTAGTTTGTCTTCCGCCATTTGACCAGCTCAGGATCTGTTCATTGCAATTGAACGTTTGTGTCGTCTGAAAACTCGGTCGTGAACCGCATGGCGTCGGTGTAGTCTTATAACTGGATTGTAACAACATACTTTTCGGTCGAAGATAAGATTTAGTCATGTTAGTTTGAGCGACAAAACGGTTAAATCAATTTTACACGGCGTTTAGCACGGGCTGGCCTGTTAGTGCCAACCTGCCTATCTATTGAAGCCCCAGACGGACCTTGCTCTTTCTGGGTCAATCGATTGTGTCTTACTGCTCTTAGCTTGATTTTCGACAGCTGACTGAGCTCAACTAGACTACGGTGCCTGTGTTATAATATCTGGTCTGTTAGAAGTCGAGCGAAGAATCAACTAAATCTTTAGTAGATTCGATGGGGTCGTCGCGCAACGTCGAAGAGGGTCGTACAGACAAACCGCCCCATCGGTATTCCGGCGGGAAGCAAACGATGGCATTCGATTTAGCTATGGCCTGTTATAATCGATTCGCTTTAATTAACGGTAGGACTGACAAACGACAGCAAAAACAACGACATCTGCTGAGTTAAATGAAAATGAAAGTTGTGGTAATAGACAAACACCAGTTGTGCCTGTAACGTATACGTAGATCGACAGGACTTCACTCAAATAAAGCTTGACAGTAATACTGCCATTGATCAAATGATGCCGTTAACTAATCTGATCTGCGCCGACCGTCTACTATGTTAGTCAAAAATACACGGGCCGAGAGATAGTCCACATTTGGCTTATACGGCTTTCGTATACAGCTTTTGTGGACCAACAATGCTATACTAAGTAGAAACGACCACGAAATTCATTACCAGACACAAACTTATCTATTTGCTGGGGTGGCAATAGCGAGAAGGTATTACTCTAGCAGCGACCGGATTATGTGGTATGATTTAGTTCGTCTACATGAATTACTTCCGGACAGTTGACACTAGTAGGGGACGTTAGTTTACTGAAAGAACCGATTGGTATTCGACACTCAAGTGGCTATGGGGTGTCTGGAGGGGAGCAAGCTATTTCAGAAAACTTTGCTGGGGGTGTTTCTCATTCGTGACATGTACTAGTGTTGAAATGTCTCCGTTAGTGTTCCATTTACAGATAGCACACTCGGAAACGTAGATCCAATGAGATTTGACAGGTTTATTTAAGCGTTTTGACTAATTCGCTGGAGGAGTTATTGAATCACTCCTTGTGATGATACGATAAGGTCTAGCCTGAGGATCCCACACAGGTTAGAAGTAAGCAACGAAATGTTTCCAGTATCATAATAGCGAAACTTGGCAGAATTTATGAAAAGCATTTTTAAGTGAACTAAAATTATGTTTTAAAATTCTTTTTTTTTTTTCTTAAATTAAACCTATGTTGTCAGGGATGAACATGGCGAATTGTTCTAAACAAAGCCGGGTAAATTAGGCTGAAAAATTTGTAAAATTTAAATCGATAACAATTGTGAAAAGGCACACCTCTCTGCCGGTTTCCCAGTTTCAAAATTTTTGAATAAGAATCCAACGAATAATATGTCAAGCATGGGCCTAAAGGCATTTTTTGGAATTAGTATCCCGAGTGGCAATAAATAGCCATCGCCACGTCAACTGATAGTATCGAAACTTCTGTCCAAGAAAGCCCTTTCTTGTCATCTTTCTACTTACTATAAATTATAAGTTAAACGTAATTCATAAAATTTTATTTGTCTTGACGTATTATAACCTTTAAACAATTTTATTTAGTTTTTATTTATTAAGTATTTATAAAAATTGATACTAAGAATAACAAATATTGCCCTTGCAGGTTTTTTTAATGGAGTCGTTCCATGTGTTCGGATTAGTTCTCCTCGTATTTGTAGTTCTCCCGGAGTTGGATGTCGTCAAAGCGGCTATGCTCACCAACTGCATGTGCTTCTTACCGGCATTTTTTGGTATGCTATCACACTATCAGGGTGAAGAGAAACGAGCGTTAAGAACTCTGCTGGATTTTTTCTGTTTGTGCGCCCAAGCGATGGGTTTTGTCGTGTGGCCATTTCTCGTTGAGAGTGAACGAGTCTGGACGATTCCCGTATCCTGTTTGCTCGTGTCATGTCGCTGGTGGGAGAACTACGTAGACAAACGATCTCCGTTCGGATTCATCGCTAAACTCGGCGCCATGAAGGATGATTTACGTAGGTCGAGGTATTTTCTCTATATTTTCATCGCATCATGGAAGGTTCTGCTGATATTCTGCTCGATGCTGCTAGTGAATACAATCACTATGGAAAATGTCGTGGATCTGCTTAGATCGTTCGGAAAGGCTTTCCGTAGCCACAAAATCATGATCGTACAGGTAAGTCGTTAGCAATGTGGCACATTGATGTTTGTAAACGTCCATATATGCATACGGGTTAAAAAAAAACAACTTTAAGAGACCGCGTCGTGGTTTCCTACTTAGCTGAGGTCACGTCACGTCGCGAAACTAGTTTTTACCGTTTAGCACAACGAACAGATCCGCGTTATCATTTTACATATTATTACCATTTAACTATTAATATATTTATTTGTTTTTCACCGATGTTTCATGCATATTTTGAACTTTGATCTTCAACGTACATTGGTGCCGGACGCAATTCTTCGTGGGTCCGTCTTGCCCTCGTTTTCGTAAAAGTAAGACGAGCTTTTTATGTTTATCTTAATTTCACAGGTATATCAGCGTGTCTTTGACCATCTGCCGGCCGATATTCCGACTGCTTCACCCTTAGACGATGACATTTCACTTCTGACATTCGAGTGGACGCCGCTCATCGTTGCCCTCATCCAAATCTGTGCCGCGCATCTCTGCTATGTCACATCGAAGTTTGCCTGTAAAATCTGCATTCAAGGCTTCAGCTTCGCCTTCCCCATATCCCTCACTATCCCCGTATGCATCTCGTTATTGATTGCCTCGTGTGGCATACGTTTTGAGGATGTCTGCTTTTTCGAGGGTTGGTTACCGAAATACCTCTTCTGGAAGTGTCCTCCCGGAGATTTCTTTCAGGTTTGTTATCTGATAAAGTTGCGAGTCGTAGTTAAGGAGCACAAAAGTAGGGAATTGCAATTATATCAAAACAACATTAGTAGGCAAGGTGAAAGCACTAGTATGATACTTTGAATGTAAATAGATCATCGCAGAAATAGATAACGGCAAGTATAGTAGGAAGGGGGGCAAATCCAGTTCAGTTCGAACCCAATGTCTCCCAAAAAGGACCCCCATTCCTGCTGCGATTATAGACCAAGATATCCACTACTGTTCAGGCCATTCGTATCATTTAGTTTCCACTCAAAACAATCCTCTAAGTCCCTGTCAGGGAAGTCAGGCTTTACCTAACTAAAGCCCAATCAGCTTTTCTACAAGGGTGGGGCAAGCGGTCCCAAGACAGTGTGACGATCTATCGTCGGACTAGCATAGCCAAGGTAGACCTTTCCTCGAATAGCAGTAGAAAAAAATGAAGCTCAACAGCATCGATGAGTCTCGCCGTTAATATCAACTCTATAAATAAGATCCACGTCAACAAGAGTAACGCTGCGTCTCGCTACTGCTGCCATACGTTTTTCATCCAGGCCGGATGGTTTAGAACTGTGTGTGTGTGTGGGTGGCCGAACTCCCTTTCGATTGAGTAGGTATGGTTAGTTGGTCAGCCAATTCTTCGTAGGTCTTTACAGCGAAGCCGCTTCTCCCGTCAAAGCTCCACACGGCAAAGAGGAACCTTTCGTTACTGTTAGCCACCGGTTTTCCTGACCCATTCACTGTTCTGTGGGACTGTTTTAACCTTTTATCTCATCCTGGCGCTGAAGCAGCCTAAATCTGCGTTGTCTTCATACCATCTTTTCATCTGGTCGTTTCGCACGACCACAAAAACCAACAATTTGCCCATCCCGGTATTTAAGAAGTCTAATCACGCTGGACTGCAAGCAAAACTCCTGTTTTGAAGTACTGATATACCTAACGAGTACGGGGAAACTACATCAATTAATGACTCACCCCTATTGTTCAATGTGCTACAGTTTTTCCCTGTAACTTGTCTATAATAACATACCTCATCCATGATCGTGATCACTGCTGCCACTGCGTTCAAAAGGTTTGACGCCTGGCTCCTCGTCTTTTTTAGCGATAAGGGCGTTGGCTGACGCAAGTTTCAATGTTACTGCATCGGCCAATAGCGACCAGAGAAGTGACCCAGTTGATCTCTCCCGATCCAGTTGAGTTGGCTTTTGTGCTGTATTGCACAACACAGCGTGTACTGAGCGTCAGGTAGGAAGCTACGCTGCTACTTCCCACTAAGTTATGTATGGGCGAAACAGGCTCGAAGGCCAACGTTTTCAGTACCGCAATAGTGCAGTACAAATTGAGCATTCAGTGCATTGGGCGACAGTGCTAAGCTATGGATAATATAATTCTACGTTGTGTGCACCTTGTGGGAAATGCGATGTACGCATTTCTCTATATGTGCGCATCGCGCAGAAAGTTGTACCATATGACGGATTGGCTAAGCTAAGAACCATCATAACCTTGGGCTGCTGAATGGGTCTCCGAACTCTGTCAGTTTGCAACGCCGTATGTAGAAAACACGGGTGTAGTCATCAGGCGCTTTCGAGGAAACTGTCTGCTATACTATCAAGGTCTATTATAATGGCTCGTCTGTCAAAAATATAGCATAAAGTAAAATGCGATAATTTCAGTGAAATATTACGAGGACACATGAGCCAGGTATTTTTTAGTCGAAAAAAATCTCCCTGAATTGTAACAACAATGTATTCTAGAATCTGACTTTTAAATTATGTTTGTGGATTAAGGCAGATCATACCGTAATATATTACTATAGCGCAACTGAAACTATGATCAAAGTGAAACAAGCTTTTTCCATTCACTGCTGTTCCTCAGCAAAGCTGTAGAAACATAGCTATACGTGACGGATCCTAGTACTGTGTAACTTGGTAAATTCTGCGTTTTGGATTTTCAGGACTTCTTTACCTCACAACATACATGGATTTGGTTAATATGCCTATTATCACAAACATGGATTGCAGTTCACATCCTTACCCCAAAGTCTGAGCGACTTTCATCCACGGAGAAACTATTCGTTTGCCCCATGTACGTGGGCACCCTGATCGATCAATCGCTAGCATTCAACCGCCGACGAGATGACGAAGGGGAACTTAAAAGTGACGTAAGTATAGATTAAGCTTACATGATCAGCCGTCATTAGCTAGAATGAAATCTAATTTTATGTATGTATGTAGCAAAGTATGATTTTAGCCGTTGTTAAGCAACGTTGGCGATGTATTTCGGTATTACAATTTTTTTTTAGGAATTACATTGTTGAAACACGGTGGTTTTTATAGCACATTTTTTATTGTGCTATGAAGTAGTGCTAGCTTAATACGTCCACTTGGACAATCCAGCGTAAGTCAACAGGAAAACGTGCGAGGGCTTTCGAAACTACTGCCATTAACAGAATCCTTATTTTACTTGTAAAGCCTTTGGAAAACGCAGCCAGTGGATTGAAAAATAATACTTCGGGATTTCTTACATTGTTGGCATTAGTATACGGAAATTTTCATTTGATTTAGCTCAAATTGTTCTTTGTAAGGCTTGACATCCTACCAGGCCTAAACTGAAGCTTCCGCCTTTTTCGTCGTAGCTCAGTCAGGCCCAATTTGACTTTTGACTACTGCAAGTACAGCACTCTCAAACTGTCTCAAATCGTCTTAAGCTAGAACAAACTAAAATACTCGAAATATCTCGAAAGCATCTGTCTAGGAGACTTTCAAAGCTGACTGCTAATATAGCAGTCTCCCATCGAGTGCCAGAAGCCTGACATAAATAAGCGACGTCTCTAATGTAGGGAGATATGCTATTTCGAATATCTAGAAACAGATGCTAATAATGAAACTATACTTTGTAGACCTTGCGTCTTCGTCGACCTCCAAATTAACCTCGTTGAAAAATTGGCCTCCACGCATACGCGACATGTCTATGTTTTACTTACTTGATAGACGTACGCGATGTTTTCGATATGAGCTATATGCAAAATTCGATTTTAATTACTATATTAATGTTTCTAGGATTCATCTATTGGAAGTGGGGCGGTTATTGAGTAAATTCACCCATGAAAATTTTCCAAGATGGTTCTCCGATTGAAATTTTCCTTTACGAGCTACTTGTGTTCTTGTATCTGAAGTGTGCTTTTCAACACTATCAAACAGCTGTACATCGTACTGAGTCTGGATAATCCAAGCCAGCACATTAGAAGCGTACTCGTATGAGCGTTAGGTGACCTTGATCTCACCTACATATATGCAAACATACAGTTTTTCTGGTGAGTAACATACTTGATGAAACGTATATCCAGCTATTATATTTTGTTACCTTTTTTTTTTTTCATATATCCACTAACATATCATATTAATCTACTTATTTCAATCATATTTGAAGATCCGAAGCAAGCGTTTATCGTCACGGAAAATAGCAATACTTTAATTTAATTTCTACCACATATGGCAACCAACATCAGTTAGCTGATACTCTCGTTCGCCAAGATAACAAATAAGATTCTTAAAAGCCATTGATGGCCTGGTCAACTTGGGCTACTATTTTGCACGCTTCAGCCATGCGAAAATATCGATTGATATTGGTCGAACAAACGAATCACTAGTGCTACTGCCTGCTGATTATATGGCTCTACTGGGTCCAAGCCGCGTAGGCTCGCCGACCTCGTCTATAGAACCTACTGCGTTCTCTTTCCCTGTGCGTTCGTTTTCGTAGTAGCCCGGTTATAGTAGTTTTGTAAGGCTAACCAAACAATCCCTTGGGATATGGTGCCCAAGCAGCCCGTCCGCTTGGCCGACCGGAACATTGTGGATATATATACTCACGAGGCCTGGCGTAGAAACTAGCCACATGGGCTCGTCCTAACAGCCCGGACTAGAGCAGTAGTACTCTGTTTGGCCTGAAACGGCGTTCTACCCTTTACAGGCTATGTTCCTTAAGCTTGGATCTGGCCGTGGCCATTTTGGTAGCGGTGGTAGCAGCAGCGTGAAGCGGATGTGCGCCACCAACACGCAAGGCCGCCTGCTTGACCGTCTACATATCTAACTACCCTACTGGCTAGATTTGTTTGCTACCGTACGGGCAAACATCACCCCCTCGGTGCGACAATACGAGATTCGTAGCCTGACACAGCCCGAGCCATCACTACTAGGCCAGTGGTTCCTTGACTCCCTGGAGTCCTGAAAAGGGACAGACAAACGTTCACAAGCGCAGACCTGCAAACACATACACATAATACAGCGCGACGAGATGCTTAGATATACGCTCACTCAAACTTATAGAACCCTGGCAGCGCAAGCTATGCTTTAGCGGCTAGTTATTCCCAGGCGACCAGTGTACCAAGTCCTTTAAACCCCTTTTCAGTTCCCGTGACGTCGTTGTCTTCATTCTCCAGACTCCTGCAGATGCAGAGATGGCAACACAAGCGCTAACGCGCTTGTGTTGCCATCTCTGCATAAATTGTAGTATGTGACTCTGAAGTGGCTCAACGAGATGTAAAGTCGTCACGAGCTGTGGCAGGTTGGCCGTCCTGGAGAGGAAAGTCTTTGGGGGAGCTGTGTCCAGCGGAAAGAGCAGGCTTTTATTCAATGAGCTTCGCTGGATCCCTCTACTCGCCTCAGCGTTTCACTAAGGGATGCCACTTGCTGAACGGCAAGTTGAGCTCTGATTCGATTTCGTGCTGAAAGGAGCTACCTTCCCTTACTAGTATAAACCGCTATGCGTACATACGCCTCCAGACCCGTTGAGATGAGATGGCTGAGGGGTTCTACAGGGGTGTTTTACGCCCGCGTACTCCCGTAGAGTTCTTGGATAGAGGGACGTAGGCAAGCACTGCCGGGTCAGAAGACCAACGCTTCTAAAGTTGGCTTGCAACGCCAAGTAGTCCACACATCGTATGGCCAATTAAAAGTTTAAATACGTGCAGATTTATACAAAGAAGAGTATCATAAAAGACAACGTTTCCTGCTGCACGTAAGGCCAGGTCGAGCAACAATCTGACTGAATCTTTGGCTGAACGTTATCCAGCGCAAAATAGTCGGTATGTACTCAAAAATCTATGTGTACAGATATGTACAGTAGACAGCTTACGAGTTATACTCAGCCTTATACAAGAATTCAGTGAATGTATAATTTACTAGTTCTTACTACGCTTAGAGAAAAACGTGTTGTCGTAACAACATGACAACAGATGTACAGGCGGAGAAGGGCGTATGACATATTTTGGAAGTGAGCGTGTAATCACATATTTATAACTTACATTTACTTCCAAGAATATCACCTTACCATATCATACAGGCAAAATCCATGCATGTTCAAGACAGGTGCTACTTAGAGTCAGTTCTACCAAGCAAGCACAGGATACCGTGCTTCAATTCAACTAATCCCATTTGGCTGAAGATGTTGAAGGAGATCGTTTCCGGATGATGTATTTACATGAGATACTTCTATACCGACACGTATATATATATATTCAAAAAAGACGAAAGTTGAATCTAGACAGCTTTCGTGATCCATGTGGGATCCCAATCGCCACATTAGTCCGTAGAATGGGTCGGCTAGAATGGGTCGGTGGAGCTGGATTCTTTTAGGAGTATGGGCATTGGTCAATTAACAAGGAACTTAATCATGTCAATGTTACCTTGACAGCTAGGTGCATTGACATATGGGCGGTACATGCACTACATTCGTTTTTCACAGAGCATCGAACGTGTCAAACAGGTGAATGTTTCCGAGTGTATTTGTTAAACTACAACCCACTTGCCTTCGATTCTCAACAGTCTGGCTCCATGTGTATTTACCAACGCAAAGTGCTACACTAGGGGAGGTGCCAATTTATAGAGCTGAGAAGGCACATAGATAAATTGTAGTATGTGTATTCAAAGTGTCATCAAAAGTTCATGACTGTTCCGCATTCGCCAACTCTGTTGTTGACAGCAACCCTTGCGGTTTAACTTATTGGCAGCTCCTTCTTTTTTTCGCATTTTCTTAGGATCCTCGATAACAGAAATCATTGCAAGACTATCAATACAGATTGGTCGCATCCAGTTAAATGCAACTAACCGTCAGGAAAAGTTGGCCTAGCTTCTATTCAAGGAGACGCAGCACGAGCCTTGCACTTGTGTACTTTTGTCAAATGTCACAGTGTGCTATTTGGTAGTTATCGTCGTCTTCGCTGTTCTTGCATACTTTCATTTTTTCTCTATACCTCTCTTTGAGGCTTGGCTGCGCCGTCTATTTTGTTACCCTCAAGAACAACTTCTATCGCAATGTTTGCCACGACCACTACCACAATCCACATCACGGCCGACACGAGTACCAGTGTCATAGCTACGGCTCTTTCTGTTAGAACACACTGCGCTTTTTTTTCTGCGTGTAGACGATGGGACCAAACGCTTCAGTGAGGTCGATGCTGCTGTTATTGCTACTACTGATGTAACCGCTGTTGGTCAAAATGATAGTGTCACTCGAATAGCTCACCTCACTAGCCTTTGGCCAGCCCAAATCACTACCGAAATTGAGACTGGGGCTCTGGACGACATACGGCTAAGGGAGCAATCGGGATCAGAATGGCGGAGAATGGTTTCAGGTTTTGGGGATCCTGGGAGTGAGTATCCCTGTGGCAAATGGACCAGTTTCGTATACTGATCAGACCTACGCTTCTGGTGGAGGTGATGACAGTAATGTAGTGCCCGTGGGTAAAATTGCGTGCATGTCTTGCGGTCGGGATTTGGGAAAAGTCTTGGCCAGCTGTTTTATGGGACAGAGTAACATAGACAAACTATGATAGGCGAAGAGTTTGCCTGCTTTTTCCTTGTTTTTCTCTTCTTTTGCACTCTCTCCTCCTGCCTCGTCAGTACGTCCCTCACTATCCCAAGCAATAAAGGCATCCATTGTTGGAAACGCGGGCCAAAGCACTACAGCTATCCAGCGGACGCTAGCTGAGCAATCGAACTGGGAAACAACGACATTCGTTTGGCGCGTTCTTCTTCGCGATGATGCGTTTCGTCCTTTAGTGTTCGGCCTTTTTTCTTTCTGTTTGCCGCCGCTTTTACAAAAAGCCCTAAACTGCGACCTACGGTAAAACACTGCAATAGAGAAAGTGAAAGACTGGGCAAGCGAACGAAAACAAATAGGCACTTGAACGTGAACTTTTTTTCCCAGAAGTACTCCCCCTTCCCCAGCGACTCCCCAATCAGAACCCAATTCCCTCTCGATACTGGAGTTCCCCGGCGAGCGTTCCACGTACCCCGAACACCACTCGCGTTTGGTTATGCCCAACCGGTGCTAGCAGCGTGTCCCCGCTGTTAACAGCAGACTCGAACCCGTAGTTGCTCTTTCCCTCGCCTTACATCTTCCGCTACTTCGCTTCCATTCGCTTCGCCGATATTCATCACTATATCGACCCAGTGTAACTATGCAGTGAGACGACGTGGTGCGTTTGGTGGTCGACAGAATCATCACCGAACAGGCCATATTCCTAGCCAGCATTCCCATTTGTCGTCCAGTCGTGTTGGTTGCTAGTGCCTTCTACTCCTCCTTTCGCTTGCCGTCTTTTTTCTTTCCCTCCTTCAACCGAAGCACTGGTGCTCCTCATTACTTGTAGCCACGTCTATGTCTATAGCTCTCTATATCCATCGGTGTCTCCTTACTGCGTTTACTGCGATGCTGCAGTAGAGGTAGAGCATCAAAGAAAGACAGGTAGATAGCAAGCAGAGGCAACAGAGCGCCCTCTATTTTTAGTTGTAGTGCACCTATATTTACTGCTGCAGCTTCTACGAAGTCCGAAAAGGCTGTGATGACGGCAAAGATTGCGATACTTTGGCCATTGGCAGCATAAAGCACGCAATGATACTCAACAAAAGGACACAATGAGATAACATTCACTACTATTAAAGATATCAATGATATGTAAAAAAGAACAAGGTCAGAAGCACATAGAAAGGGTCAAACGTGTACTTCAACAGCTGGATGTTCGGAAAGGCACCGTCCGTATTATGCAAGCAGATGAAGAAAAACGAAAGCAACAGCAAATCTTAGACCTAATTGCTAGATCCATTTTAAAATCTTGAAGCATTACGTCTAAATGCGATATTTCTAAACGAGACCCAGTCGTTGTCTCTAAGAAACTACTGTTGAATATCATTAAGCGTCGCTTGCTAAAGAGCTGGGTCAGTGAGGATTTCACTTTATATTCACATAGAAGTTCCGAAACTTTTAAGTTTTGACGACAAACAATCATTGGCTTCTTATTTTTACTCATATACGCCTAACATTGGGTCAACATTGTGTTATTTCGTAGAGTCGACCGTTATAACAGTGGATCCGTTTATACTGGGCCTAACATCATTGTGTACATTTCTTTATATCATAAGTATTAGTTTGTCGATCCAAGGTCAACAGGCGCCTTTGGTGTGCATTATGCGAGCCTTCGTAGCGTTGTAAAGAAGTTGGCCTGGGGTATGGATGCCATAAAGCAGCACTGACTTTAAGTCAGCACAGTAGTTCACATTATATGGGTAACCATGAAGAATCGGATAAGGTATGCCACAACGCCGTTAAATCCATTGTGTAAGTCTATAGATTGAAATTGTAATGATAAGCCTAACTGTGATAATAAAAACGACAATTTTCTAGTTCCTCCTATATTGCTCCTTCTCATTTCACCAGGTGCGCGAATAGCACGTGATCATGTCAAACCTTAGCTTGACCCGTTATTAAGCCGTCTAAGCGTTCTTTTAGACGTCAAACTATTTATCACTCATCTTAGTTTTGATACGTCGAAAAAATCGAGTGACCCTCTGCTGTTGCTGCTTGAAAAAATTCACCGCAGTAAACATTATCTAGAAGAGCAGATAATGCAGTTTTTTGTTTGTTTTTAACCTGTTGTTTCTAATCGGTCTCAATATATGTGTTAGAAGTGCAATCCCGCACAAAAAAGTCTGCCAATTTTGAGCAGAGGCTCTGATGTTCAGCCCTAATCAAACAATTACATTATCGAATACAAACAAAACATTATTAGAGAAAAGAACAACGTTGTGCGTGACTCGTCTGTCTTTAAGTGGTAGACCATGTTAGCCTATGCCATTAAACGATATTCGTCGGTACACAAATGGATACAGCTCCAGCTTTCCAGACATAAAGCCAGCATCCTCGGTTCCGTTAAGCGACTAAGCCCTCTCTAGAGATCCGTCTTCTCAAAACATATGTTGCCTATTTGCTGGTTGAGACGTGTATCACCATATCTGACATTTGCACACACTCGGGCGTTGACCGCATCAATGCAAACGGACCTAGAAAAAGAAGCTTCTTGGAGCTACGAAGATCTTGTCGCTATGTACGAAAGCGCCTACATATTATATAATGCACAGAAGGATATACACAAACGAACGGACTCCTGAGGCGTAACTACGCTTAAAGTGAACTTAAGGTCATTTGCGATTCAGCGAAAAGGGAGCAAGAGTCGGGAAGAGCTTCAGGGGTCTTACTAGTACATTATAGTCATAAATGGTCAACGGTAATTACCGTATGTATGGATATCGCCCGTTAGTGGGTGAATATAGTGAATCTCGTTATTTTTTCAATCTTCCATGAGTTCCCAAACTCACTCGTGTTTAAAATGTCTTCATATCTACACGTTTTCATTATGACTATGATATCAATAGCGCAGGTATGGAGAAAAGAAGAAAGAGAAGAGAGTGTGGATTCTAACCGTTAGCTTGGTAGAGTGTGAAAATGTTATATACGTTGTTATATACGTACTGAATGTGCGCACTTATCAAAAAACAAATTACTGGCTTAATACAAAACGGAACTTCTTTTAACAGGAATTGGCTCTTGATGGCACCGAGGATTATGAAACTATGTATGAGACGATTTCCGAATCATCAGATAAGGATAAGGAGAAAAAGGGAACCCCTAGCACAGTGAAAGCGTCCGATCACGTCACGAAGATTTACGCATGCGCCACAATGTGGCACGAAACCACCGATGAAATGATTCAGGTAAGCTGACGTTGCATTTATTATTCATACTTTCCCTTTGTATCATGAAGACGTGACGGAATTTATGCTAATCGCGACGTGGACTATTTCCAATAGTTTAGGCTGGCCGTTACTTTGGCAGCTTCTGAGTAAAAGTAAAAATAAAGTGACCCGATTTCATGTAAGCATCGATTACATACGAAATGGAGACGACTGTTCGAGAACGGAAGGGCTAGCGTAGTTAGTTATTCTGGCGACCTGCTGTATACTCATTTATAAATCTAGCCGATTACAGACCTTCCATTAAAATCGTTTACGTAGATTAAAATAGCTGTGTTTATCTGTTCATATGAAATTTCTGAACATCGAAAGTATGAGTCTGTGGATAGCACCCCGGGAAATACTTAATACGTACAATTTATGACAATCTTACTCGATATTGACTTTGTTTTTGTTTATAATTTGTAACAGCAGAGACAATTAAGATTTAATAAAAATAAAAACATAACTACAAAACGTTTTTTCGGGTAATTCAATTTAAATACGGTCATTATTGCCATACTGATTCACACCGCCGTCTTCCTGACTTTTCCGCTTAAAATGATAGTATACTGAGGATTACGTAGGGAATTTATTCCCTATCGAGTTAAATATGTACGTGTATGAATGAGAACAGCTCGGCTCAACCCATACTTACGGATGGCTTGAACGTACTAGTTGAAGAGAAGCGATGGCGTTATGAAAAATTATATTATGATTATTGATCTTTTTTTTTCTATTTTTGCTTGTATTTTATTTCGTTTTATTTAGGACCTAGCTTATATAGAGACAAAAAGGTACGTACTGTCCTGATAACACGAATCACTGACGTCATTTTATCTCTAAACGTGCGTAAGTCTGGGCCGTTGCATAGGAGAACAAACTTTTTGTTCATGTACGGAAATCATTAATACTTGCTGAAATTCTAGTTACACGTTCTAAGTACATGTAAAATACGTGTACTAATTCACAGTACTGTTCTACGTCATTGTTAAGACAAAAAGGTGTTCCCGATATTATGCCTGCGAGCTTTTGAGAAAGATTCAATCTGCTATTATCCAGCTTTATCTAGAATCACCTGTGTATTCCAACGTAAATGAAAAAATAACACAGCAACTTAACGCATTGTATACGTTAGCATATACCAAAATGTATACACACACGTGGAACGATACCGTAACCAATTTCCACAGACAACCGCTTACTCCAATTCTACATTACGAAAAATAACTGCAAGTCGTAGATAATAATGGCATAAAATTGAACCAATTCCAATTGAGATGTGCATACATGATACAGGCTAAAGCTGTGAATGAAGTCAAAGTAATGGGAAAGAGTTTTCTTTTAACCCAGTTTTATATTTTAAGCATGTCATTGGCTCCACGCGCATTCACGTCTGCTCTAGGCGTAGAACATAAGGTATGTGCAATGGAAGTATATGGTCATGAAAAAGTACAACACCCACTATTTAATCCGCGCAGCGTATGTGATACCTGTTATTGTCGTACCCAAACGAACGTAGTTATGAACTAATTTCTTGAGTCTAGCGTTGCTATTTAAAAAAAAACAGCTATTCAAAGGAACTGCTGAATTCCTAGACTGTCCTCGTTTGTTTCTACTTTTTCTTATTCTTAGTGCTAGTTACTATAATTATCTACTTTATTAAATAACTATGTAAGTTGAGCTATGTAGATACAGAAATATGTTAGATATAGAAATCTTGAGATTCGTCTTCCTGTAACAAATTTGGCTATGAAAAAAGCGTCCCTCATATTTACCTTGTATTTGTTACGTCCTTAGTCATTTATCGCGTAGGCTAAGTCAAAATGAGATGCCCAAATGACGACGAGACGTATGGGACGTATGGTGGTAAGATCGGTTCCGTCTGCTTGTGCGTTAGCAACAGAGATCGGGCGGAACGCATCACGGATATACCGCATTGTTCGCAAGGTGAAGCCATTATGACCTTCATAAGCCGCGAGCTGCGAGTAAAGCTGGCGTCAATGATTAGCTCCTCAAAAATGTCTATTGGCGCAAGCTGTTGCCGCCGTAGCTCCTCTTCTGTATTACCGGTTTGTGTGACTGTCAATTCAAGCCCAAAATAGCCGCCTAGGAACGACTCAGTAACGATGTGTAAAGCAACGATTGCTGGCAGAAATGCGTCAACCTATTGTAGAATGGGCTACATTGATTTTTTTTTTCTAACAACCTGGTGATTCCCAGGCCATAGGTTTCCGGTGGGCCTTCGTTACAAATCGTAAAACAGGTAGAACGCACATGCTAAAATGGGCCATTATGTCCGTTTTCGATTTGGGATAGTGATGCAATAACTAACGGCCATCCTTTTTGCTCAGTGCTAAACTAACAGCTATCGGCTTAATCTCGAGTCCTAGTGCTTTACAACTCCTTCTTTTTTTGGCTAAAGTCAGTATGTGAAATGTGAGACTTATGTAACAGATGCCACTGTCATTCTAACTGATTGCTAACAAATTATTTTCGGTATGGTATGGTATGCTTTCAGATGTTGAAGTCCATCATGCGAATGGACGAAGATCAGTGCGCCCGCCGTAACGCTCAGAAGTACCTGCGTATTGTCGATCCTGATTATTATGAATTTGAGGGTCAGTACTGTGCACTTACAGCGCGTCTGAGTGCAAATCGCCTTCAGCGAAGGGCTTCTGTAACCAAAAATAGGTCAGATGTAGACATATGCTGCTTGAGAAACAGCTTTTCTTGAAGAGCCTTCGTCAGACGGAAATTTAATTCTTTCAACATCGAATTTGATGCTCCCCTTTGAACTTCTATATTATTAGGCTAAAATTATCATTTTTATTTCAATGCAAATGATTTTCGAAGCGTGCTTGTTACAAACACATTTCTCTGTCAAAATTTTTTCCATCTCCAGGCTTCTAATTCCACTTGGCCCGCACTATTAATGAATTATAGTCTAGTTTTATATCGTATTCAAAATTAACAATTGCTTATAAAGCAAAAGATGGTTAATTGCGTCATTGTTTATTTTCTAGCAACTGTCTTTTCGTAATTACAGTAACATGCTTTGATCATGGACTTCGTACAACCCTCTAGTTCCTGTAAACTTACATCTTCACGCATGACTTGATGCCCCCCTATGACTATAAACTTATCGTATTACACCAGTCTGTCCCGCTAGTCTCAGCATGTTATGCGGAATTTGTTCCACACCCAGATCAAAGTCAGCATTTCAACTTGCATCTCCAGCCCGTAATTAGTGTATAATAGTAAACGCATTTGATAAAAAAAGGAACTTAAGGAAGCATGGTGAAAAGGCAAACATTCAAAAGTCTCAGTTCGTGAAGGTGAAAAGTTCTGCAGTCAATATTTTCCTGCCTGGCTCCAAACGGCATTAGCCATTATCATGCTAGGGCGCATCAAAATATGTCTTCACAAAGTCCTTGCCACATTTCAGCTGTACATTTATTTTGAGTTATAAAATCGATGAGAAAAGTTTCATCGTGCGCCAGTTAGAAAGAACCTTTCAAGTTAGTTCGTATTAATGTCGGCAATGGGTCCGAGTATAGCGTTAGCAGCGGAATCAATGCCACGTAGAGTTATAACATGGATATACAAGCTTCGGCTACTTATTTCGCACCTATGTGCTATCCGCGGGGACTCGGAATGTTATGAAGCTAGGCTGTACAAACTAAGCCAACTAAGCAGATGAAAAAGTCTTTTCCGTGCACTCTAGACTACACGTCTAGGATTCGTTTTTGTACTGGTCATGAGGCATGCTTCCCGTTAGGAGTATCCGAACTGAAGTAATCGATTTGTTTGCTAGTACACTATAAAATTCGTCTAAATATTCTTCCGCGTTGGCTGTGCATGATTATGTCGCTATTAACGAAAGACCGTGATCCGCTTCTTTAATTTGGACAAATTTATCGTTGAAATTAATCGGTTACAATCCAATTAACATAAAAAAAAGACTCAATTCATGTGCTTTCTATAGTACCTGAACCAAAGACCTTATGGTCCTAAGTCTCGGGCCGCTATATGCCGCTCTGATTTTGCATGAGCAAACCGTTTATTCGATGTTCTTATTGTTGTTGTCGTCTTCGTCATCATCACGGTATTCTTCGTATAGTGTGAGTCTACGTGGCAAAATTTAAATGTGTTGATTTCACTAAAAAGTACGTGTACCCCTCTTCTCATCGATTCCGCTACCCGATTACAGTTCACGTGTTCTTCGACGATGCTTTTGAGTGGTCTGATCATAGTGACGAGGACCGCCAGGTGAATCGCTTTGTAACAACGCTCGTTAAGGTAAGAAGCAAAAAATCCTATAATGGATTACTATCGATCTGTATTGATGCGGTTCGTTGAAACAAAACTATTTTCTGTTCTAAAGATTGTACGTTTATACGCCATCGGTTTTGTTAAATGTCTGTAAGACTGTTAATAATAATCCAATTCAGCGTAATCATAATGCCTATCGAAAAAGTTAGTAAAACATAATCATTTCATTTGTTGTTTTTCATTATTGCTTAATAACACAATGAAATAGCATGGAATTTGGTACGGTTATTGACATATCACTTTCTTCCATTTAGCACTAATATTACCTCTTACACATGTGTTGTTGAATATCTTACAAGGTCATGGACACGGCAGCCAGTAACGTGCACCAGTGTACGATCAAGCTTAAGCCGCCCAAAAAAATTCCAACTCCGTACGGGGGACGCCTTATGTGGACTATGCCAGGCAAAAACAAGTTCATCGTGCATCTAAAGGATAAGAACAAAATCCGTCACAGGTCAGTAAAAACATATATATATTGACGAAGATAAAAAGACACTCAAACAGCGCTCCAGTACGCCGAATTTGTCCGAAATTGTTTATATACATATATATATATATATATATATTGCATATTATATATACATATATATATATGCAAAAAAGACTTATGTACCTTCAGAAGCTATTTAATACATGAATGTACACTATGACGTCGCTATGCACCTGGTTAAGTCAAATTTGCACAGGTTAAACCGTCATTGAATAGTCTAGCTATGAGAACGTTCAGAACATCCTTACGTTCAAACGCTACCCGCTGGTGAGGCACCCTCGTTAGACATGATTGGTCGCTTCTTAAACGAATGGGCGCTGCTTCTATTACAGCTTCCACAAGTGTCTTTTGCCTCCAGGGCTATTCCTCTATGCCCCTACCGATGCCAAGAACAGGGCCATAGTCTTTGACTAAACCCACTTTCCAACTCGACTGCTCGACTAAGTCCCTGTTTGTCGGTCAACCTAAGCTATCTTTGGAAAATGCAATGTCGTCCCCAGCTACTCCCTCGTTTAGAAGAAAGGCGTTTGACCTGTCACGGGGCTAATCGTCGCAGGCCGAAAGGCCAATCTGCGTCCAACCCTTTCTTTCTATCTGGATGGTACTTTTAGATTTGAAAGTAGATTTCATCGTTGAAAAGAGTTTCGTTCGCGTAAGCGTTGCTCTAACCCAGATCACTCCTAGGTAGGTCGACTACTGCAACGATGGCGGTTGTGACTGTCTTTTGAGTGCGCTGTGTCTCAGTAGCCTCCGCTTAACCTTGCGCTTTCCATCTCAACGTATCCATGAAAAGACTGGACCCATCCCAATCTTGGCTATGAACAACATGCGACCCGAAGCTGCTATTACTGTCAGCTCACTCACATTGCAATAGCCAGCGAAACAGTAATAGAGCGTTGCAAGATGAGGGGTGCCTTTGAGCGTCTTGGTTGAGAAATAAAAGACCAACGGTATTACCCCACATCTCATTGTTCTGCCCCGGTTGCGAATAGCCCGATTGAAGAATACTGAATGTGACACCTACTAGTGGCGGCGTCCGCGTAGGCAACCTTTAAAGTCATTCCCTTTTTCATGACGCAGGAACCTTTTCGGAAGCATAGGTTTTATAGGACTGTAGCATTTGTAGTTTTGGCTTTTTTTATCGAACTCTAGAAAGACTATTTACGAGTGTAGTTCCGCCTTAGCAGCCCTACATTTGCTGTTTGACTGTCGAGTCGGCTCGCCTTCATTTGTGATTTGCTGCTATTGCTGTTAGCTGTCAGGCTTCGAATGCATTTTACTCGAATCGGAACAGAACAATTTCTATGATGCCTAAAGGACAAGATAATTTGCACTATCAATAAAACATACAGATTTAACATGATATAATGTGAAACTATTAGGCGATCATGTACAGTGGCCGAAAAGAACAATTCCCTTACAACATTTTTCTAATAATTTAAACAGAGAGTTGAATCGTACTTACCTCCAGCTAAACAAGGCAAACGCGTACATGCGCTTAAAAATAGTATTAGAGAAAAAAAAAATAATAGTTCTAGTCAACAAATATGTGCAGATTCTAAATGACCTAAAATGCACGCACGCACTTCGGCATGTACCAGCTCTCGAATCACCATTACTAATCGGGGAGTTATTGCCAGCAATGTCCTACCTTCCCACCACCTGCATATTGCTAGCTATAACTAGATGAATTGTAACACTGCACGGTCGCTAGTAAAATGTCTGTAGGATGTCCTACCTTTTAATGCAACGCTTCTCATTCCCGTACGAATAGAGATAAAACATTGCTTACCCTTTAGAATTGCGACGAAGCAATCTTTTAAGCGAGGTCTGTCTCGGCTTCCTCATCCTTCGGTTGTAGATGTCTGAGAACAAACTATTCGAATGCGGATCTGCTTACCATTTGCAGTTGATCTGAATGAATGAAAATGAACATGCAGAACCAAAAACGTCGGCAGTCGTGTTTGGTGGCACGAGACAAATTTTTTTTGGGGCGCATAAGTTTTGAAAACAGCCGTTAAAAGCACCGCCAGGCATTCCTTTCGCGATCCGCCTGTTATTTAGGTCGCTTCCGTGTTGACTGGGACGGTACGCATTGACCTGATGGTGGCAACACGTGAAAAGCCAATTTCGTCGAAAAAGGTAGAAGGTCATGGCTGGTTCCATCACAGTATTTAACTGATTTGATAACGCTAAAATCGCATTGCCCCTGGTCTTGTATGCTTGGTCTCTTGTTACCTAAGCGATACATATTGCTTCGAAGAACCTACAGAGATTAACTGGAGAAAATAGTTTCCGTTTGGCAGACGTTCATAAAAGAGATGTGTCTTCTATTGGGTGTTTACTAACAGAAAAAAATACGGATGTATATATTCGCTTGCCAGATTCTAGCCGAATTTGTTTGCCAGCAATTAGCAGCGCGAACTTTGCGCTGATATCTGCTGAACGTTCGAGGATAGACATCTAAATTCCCTCTCGCCATCGAGTACTAGCTTATCATGAATGGTAAACCTGTAAATCAAACTTGCATCGCAAGCAAGAGTTTTCTACGCTATTGGCAATCAATGTTTAGAAATATTAGTTCGACCCTTAAGGAAGATTGTTGAGAGCTTCAAATTACAGCGGTTCTTGAAAGTTCTTGAAATTGACGCGATTCTATTGATATTTGTACATTTGCGAAAATTTTTCACGACAACTTCAGGTATGAATAGTACTAATTCATATGGCACCAACAGCCGATTAACTGTACAGATAGAACAATGAAGACATGAGCTGAATTCTCTAATTCATGTTTTGTTTAGATACCCAAAAAAAAGTTTCGAATTTAACGTCCGCTGCTACTGTCTTAATTAGGCATTGCTTAAAATAGCTGGCTATTTCCAGCAAGAAGCGGAGTACGCCTATTTTAATTTCCGACCCAAACCTCATCACGTGTCTCAACGTTTCATTATCGAACACATTACCGCGGCGTCACTACTACAAGGACAGTTATCTATTTTAGTCCAGCACTTAATTACGAAGACAATTTCACGTTATACAAATACTATAAGGAGATCATAGAAATTAAATTTCTATAAGACAGAAAATTTTCGACAAAGTAGCAAAAATTCAAAGTCCTTATGCCATATCCTACTTATTTCAATATTCTATAATATAGGAGTGGGTGAATCACAGAATTTGGATATTAAATATTATTGAATATTACAGCAGTGATAATAACCAAATAAACTAAAAAACGGTAAGAAATACGATCGTGTTAAAAAGAGAGTCTTTTGTAGCGTAACCTCGATCAGCGCTTCACCTTCTACGCCTGTAAACTTCATTTTGATCTGCTTGAACACACATTATAAAATCTCGAGTTATATGCTATTTCAATGATACATATTAAAATAAAAAAATTAAAATGCATTTTATATGGATTGCTTATACATTTATTCCTTAAGCGACCCTATTGTTGTTTCATCTCCGACCATGAAATATGCATCCCCGTAACTGAATGCTGGATACCTTAATGTCTCCTTTTCGGCGAAAGTTCTAGCGATTCCAGCCACAAACTGAATAAATACTAAAGACAAGTGGCAAATCTGTTTATGGCCGCGATGTCTCCTTTTTTTGCGGTTCAGAACGCAGCTAAGGCCGCACAGGTTATTTTGATGGACTTCTTCGTCAACCACAAACTTCACACCATGTGTTCCACCATTTTTCTCTTTTTGAGTTTGGTCTTCACGTTGTTCCGTTTTGCCTCGTCAGCACACTTCTCCCCAAAAGGGAGGCCAGAAGAAGCAGCATCAGACCTTTGAAACATCAGCATTGGCTGTATCAACAGTAAAAGCATCCTAACAGCTCGAAGCAGTAGAGGTCAAGCTGCCAGAGAAGCCGTTCACAACGGCACAGCAACGGAGTCGCTTAAATCCATGGCAAAAAAAAACGGAGATCACTTTTTGTTATTAAAATATTGCGCTATTACCTCTCCCACCTGTTCTGCTATCCTCAGGTTGGGAGACAGACTCCCTGGGATGTAAACAAGCGCTGCTTCACATCGTTTTTTTCCAGTGACTAAACTACCATAGAAGGATAGCACGGTAACAGCGCAGCACGGACCAGTCGTTCTGGGTCAATGTTGGTTACAGAGCTCCGCGAACTCAGAGATGAGTTTCAGTTTTTGTCAGAAGGATGCCTTACCGATAAGGTTTTTTGCCGATGGCAGCGCCATCAACACGGTCGACTGAACTAAGGAAAAAATCTTATAGCAACCCTTTGCTCTGCCAGAACAGACGCGTTCAGTGCTGCGCCGTAACAACAAGTATCGCTAAAACCGAAAAAACAACCAACGAATACTACGACGTCAACACATCAAGCTAAGCCACTTCAATCCGACCATCTGACACCTACCAGTGGCGTTGCAACTCTATATCAATTTTTTCCTTCAAGGAGATAACACAGCACTTCTGAAGATAGGCCGCTCGAAGCTTTACGCTTCAATACTAAATGCACGCATGTAAGCCAGGATACACTATTACATTCGGCAACCGTGCGGCCGCTGGTACGGACTCATTGAAACTACTCCTATGTCGGCCCTTGGGTAGACAGGCAAGTCGGCATATGCGTTAATAATTAATAAATAATTCGTGATCGATACAAGAACACCGCATCATGCTCAAGCTGTTTAAAGAGGTCAGATAGCCTAACACTCATCCACACAAATACTACCTGCATTTCTCTACGGACCGCGCTAAGCAACGAAAAGTTTGGAGTGCTTTTTACAGAACAGCATACCGCTTGTCTGGTTAATAGTATTAGTAGTAGAATTGTCCAACGGTAAAAGCAGATAGACTAATTACGTTAATGATATGGACAACGAATTGAAGTACTGCACGATTGTGCGTGTACGTGTAGGCCACAGTGAAAGCAGTAGAGTTGTAAAAACGACGAAAATCCTAAAATTAACCCTCGAAGAGCACCACTATGGCTTTTTTACCCTGATGTTCTTTCTGCGCTACTACTTCACACACATAAGACCGAGTATACAATAAGTTCAATATAAAATCCTTGGAAAGCTGCATGCAAACAAGAGGCTAATCCTATTAGAAAGAACAGTTTGTGAGCCTTCTTTAGATGGCATTATGTAACTGCATTATTGTACTGTGTTTACCTGTATCCGTACTATTATACGTATACAATATAATGGGAAATTAAGTAGAAACTGAGGTTCAAGAAACTAACATCCTAAAAACGGTCAATATTTGGTGTCGAATACAGAATTAATGTCAGCATAATCTGTACATATATAATTTGATAAAGCGATTTATCGATATTCACTGTTCTGCGTATGGGGAGGCAGATGTGTACATCAGTAAAATGAGAATCTCATGAAAGAAACTATACGTATGTATACAAGGACTCAAATCAAAGATTAATCATGATAGTGCCAGCTAGGACTGAATAACTGTTGGCACAATAGAAACCCCATAAACATCATACTTCAGACCTTGATTGTATCCAACAATGACAACTGACCATTTCGAGGATAAGGAATATGTTAAACTAGAATAAACAATGAGTATACATAGGCTTAATCATGCGGTAACTGCAATTATTATTACAATATATAAGCTAAAAAAGTACGTACTAAACGTACCATTACGATATAAGCATGGGGCTGAACATGCTATGTATACAGTAAAAACTTATTTTCCTTCGTGACCTTCCGGTCAGACGCACTTAATATGAACACTACCGACTTTTACAGCGTTGGTGACTAGGTGATTATCTCGAACAACAAGTCATATAAGTAAGCGAATGTATGAATTCAAGGGTTGATAGCTGACATTCTCCTGTATTTGGAGAACATGGCACATGGAACACATATTAGGAACATAGCCAGAGAACGGAAGGAAATCAGGTGAAATAAGTCTGATGTTCACTCAAGGACGACATCCGGCAGAGCTCAGGCAGTAGCAAAGATTTTCGGGCGTAAGTATCGCAATACTGCGAACGGATCTGTAACTTTTGATCGGAAATATCTTGTTGGTTATTTGCGTCACGTTGGAACACTTTTTCGCCCATTTTGTAGAAGACTCCCATGTACTTCTGACTGACACCATTGCTTCCTTTGAGTGATCCAACTTCACTAGATAACGCTTCCAGCTGGATATATACGAACAGAAACAGCTTCCAGGGGCTTTGCAGGTCAATTCGCACATTTATAGTACTTAAGTCCACATGTAGAAAGACAATCTCTCTTTTTACCATAGCATCCGATTCTGGATGGTTCTTATAACAATCGTTCCCCGATATGTGACAAACGAACTGTGAATCTGCACGTTCGTTTGCAACTATTATCGAAAACGAGACAGCAATACCAGCCAAAAAGAACCCTGTACATTTGCTCAATATCTGCTTGGGTTGTATTGTACCTGAGCACATGAGCAAATGAGTCGATGTGTGAAACGAAAGTATCAAAGGTTAGTAGCACAATATCGATATAAAAACAGGTTGCATAATCAAATCAGTGCAAAGATTTTTTTCTTTTTGTCATGCATATAAATTCTTCGTTGCTTCGGTGTTCAGTTCAGGGTAAGAGCCAATAATGGTGCCCGAAAAGCGCTATGCCAAAATTCTCAATGAGCGAATAAAAGCCATTGCATGATGCACTTGAAGAAATATTCGTAGAATTAAACATCCATTCCGCTCGAATACCCTCCGTACTACATTACCCCATACGGACCTGGCTGAACGAATGTTTACCTGTTAAATGACCGTTACTTTCAATTCGAAATCCTTGCAAAGCTCGGTACTTGCCGAACCAGATCATAAAAAAACCGTTCGCAATTCTAGCTAGATCCAAACCTTACGTTGAGGTTTGAATCTAGCTAGAAGTTTCCCATTTCTATTCCATAACTAGCTTATTCAGTCGTACAGCAGATGGTGATATCGAGCTCATAACCATTAGAGGTAGCTTTTCGGACCTATGAATGCCCATTGTGGAATAGAATGACGTCCCTACGCTCAGCGCTGTGCTCGCCTCGTAACAGCAGCCATAACTATTCCTGCAAAGCATTTGAAACGTATGATGGTAAATGATTTGTTATGTTTCTCGCAGTGCTGTGCGTATGGCCATTGAACTGACCTACCTTTGGCTATCAATATCCAACGCTCGGCCTCCAATCAAATCGACCAGACTTACATGACAGTCGTAGTTCCTACTGTTGGTGTGGATAGCAGTTAGTGGCTATAATATTGTATAGATGGCTAGAAGTTCACCTGAGCATTTCAGACGAGTCATGCCAATCCAAACTGACTGCACACCGATTTTTAGCGCGGCTATTTCGTTAGCATTATGTATTGACCATATTGTCTGTATAAGATGTGTATGTATACTATAATGAACGCCGGGACATATATTCCGCCTAGGTTGGTCAGATAGTAAGTACGATGTTTAAGTGTTTCTAAAGAGAACTCTCTTCTACTTTTTTACCGTTGGCGTGACAATAAAAATAACTATCCTCTAAACTATATCTGCCATAAATCTCTGTCATATTCATATATAAACACAGATTCTTTAGTCTGTTTTTTTTGAAAAATTAAACTAAGGAACGGGTGAACCGTTTTTGTTCTATTGCAGGAAACGATGGTCACAGGTCATGTATATGTATTATTTGCTTGGTCACCGACTTATGGAGCTACCGATCGACGTTGCAAGAAAGGCTGTGGTTGCTGAGAACACTTACATACTGGCTCTCGATGGGGATATCAATTTTAGACCGCATGCAGTTCAACTGCTTGTTGACTTGATGAAGAAAAATCGCGGATTGGGAGCGGCGTGCGGACGTATCCATCCCGTAGGAACAGGTTAATTACGGAAAAGAAGCATTAATTTATGTCTCTATTTATCAATTAATTCATCTGTTTCCTTAAATAGCTGTGGCTCTTTTTTTCTGGTATATATTTTTTCATGTTTACGGTGCTGCTACTCTTAGGTAGTGGTTGAAAGCACGAAGCCTTTCCATTGATGGGGTTACCCTGAGGCAGCCCGCTTATTGTAATCGTCGATAGAATCTTACCTCTATTCGTCCAAGAGAATATTTCCCTATAATAAACTCTGTTGTTGCACTTGACTGCCCCGCCAGAAGCTCAAGCCGAGGCCTTTGACCAGTGACACAGTTTTTAGTTCGGCAAAAAGCCACCACGGCCAAAATCTATGTTAGAGTTGTTTCTCTAATTGAATCAAATGCTCAAGACGTAATAACATTAGTGAGCTATCTTGCTGATTTGCGTCGTAAAATTGTATCCATAGCGTCCTAATGGCATATCCTTTTCAAAGGCATGAGTACGATAGCTAATAATTCCAATTAAACTTTGATATTTGTGATCGGACTGACAAAAAATAATAGAAAATAGTTATCTTAGACTTGGCCCGTTACGTGGCCATTCACTCTTCCAGCGTGTACAGACATGTCTGCATAAGATGTGTATGTATGATTTCGGAAACGACCATAAAAATGAAATGATCTCAATCAAATGAAACCATAAAATCTATGAGGCACGATAAAACTTTGGCCACGGTCGGTCACGCAGTCTGTTCACTCGATTTCTTCAGCTCAGTTCGGTCTTTTCGTAATTCTTCGTTTGCTATTCATCTATCTTACGTAGGCCTGCCGAAGTGACTGAATAAGGTGACATTGTGGACTCGTTTCCGTTTTGACCCACCTCAGCTAGGATCCTCTGGCCTCGTCTCACCTGACGTCTACTCTTTTTCCTTAGTTGTCTGGCCTCTCATTTCCTACCTCTAACTCCTACCATAAACCGCTGTTCGCCTGTCCCGGTAAACCCCACCAGCTTTTGTGCGGGACGCAATGCGGTATCGAGATGACCGAATTAACTGTGTGTTCGTAAGGTCCTCGCTGACATTCCTCTTATGTTAGATGGACGTTGAGAGCGAATCAGTGCCAGAGACAGCGGCCACAGCAGCAAAAAACAACAAACCGAAGCCAAGGCAAAGCTGAAAGCTGCATTCCCGGCAGCAGTGGCAGATGCCCATCTCTGGTCCCTGCCTTAATGACAGTAGGAGAGGTAAATACGGTACTACGGGCTCGCGAATGGGGTTTAGCTTTCACCAGTGAACCCAATTTAGCCAACTGACCAACACCCAGGGGTTCAAGAAGGATACCGAGAAGAACCCCTAATCAAGACCATTAGAAAAGAACGAAGAGCAGCTAGAGAAAAGAGGTCACGTCGAAATCGTCATATGTATGGTCTACTTCGTTGAATCCCTTAGAGCAGTGAATATTGTTGCGACGACGATAAAATATTAAGCTGCTACAGTACACATAGCGGATGGACATAACTATGTTGAACGTCGTGGTACACGTGAATGTTCCACAGTTCATTCAGTACATGCATTATATATGCGAACGTCTATTCTTATACCTCTAGTAGGGTTCAATTTGGATGGGGTTATTCATTCTTACGTGAGTTACGGCCCGCTGAACATGCCTCTATGAGTGAAAAAAATCAAATCGATTTTACATTGGAGCTACACATAGATGTATCGACTTCGAGGTAGAATTTTAGCTTGGTAGTATTCGACGTATTTGTAATGTCATCGTAGTTATGATACTAAGAGCTTGTTTTTGAAACCGTATAAAGCGCATTTTGCTGGACTGCGCATATAACACAGAACTTACTCAGCTAGCAATAGCCAGGCAGAGGCTGCAATATTATTGATCCGTGAAGCCAACAAATAAGGAGTCTACGTTTTCGAAGACTAAGTACGACTTCCTTTTCAATAGTATGAACTGTTTCCAGGTATCTTTTGGCTGTAATGAATGGGAGCGTTAAAGTTGTCGATGTTCATTAAGAACGTTTGATACGGCGCTGCTGGATTGTGTACTAAAGACAAAAGATTTTCTAAACTAGACAGACGAAAATATCCTATTGCCCATAAACAAATATTTCAAGTCCGCTACTCCTGTTAAGCTCTGGTTATGCACGATACTGTATTGCATTATTTTACAGACATTTTTCGTTCACATGCATTTTTATTATTGATAAAGATGGGGAAGGCGATTGGTTGCAGCTTTATTTATTTGGCATATGGAAGCGGCTACAACTTTAAATTTGCTTTTGTGACTCAAGGGGACAATCTCGTAAAAATATTCGATCCAAATGAAATAACTTTAATAATGCAAACTTGTATATCAGGTTGGCCTTAGGCGTTTACCAACTGTAGCTAAGTGTCGTTATTGTCTGCAGTACGAACGTCCAGCCACACCAGAAAAACCAATGATCTCAATAATTTTCTGATTCATCACCTATGCGGCTTAACTGGTCTACCCGCGGGTATATTAATTTTTTTTTATCTGCCTTTTTTTCCTATCAATTTTGCAAAGACCTTTCCAACGCTAACCTACCTACATAACCGAGCTGCAAAGCGCGAACATCCCTTGAAATTTAGAAACTATTTTTCAAGACAGCAGTATAGCACAATACGACTTGCTTATCACACTTTGCCCATTGCTAGGCCATAAAATACATTTTAGAGCGACGTAGTTTCGGGTCGAGCGGCGTTTTACAATCTGGCATCACTGCTTATTGTAATCACAGTAAACAATCGGCGCAACTATCTACTCACTCCATCTCGTCCACGCAAGTTCGACTTCGCGAATTCCTAATGCCGGTGATGCTGCAGTTGATGATAATATATTAACAACGAACAACCCTTGCCTCCTACCTGTGCAACCGGCTTACGCACTCTAAATTACATTTCTTCTCCACTAGCAACTAAGCAGCTTACATCGCGTTTTGTTATTTTATCGCAATGCTTCCTGCTTTTCGACTATTGACGTACGTGTCGTGTCACGTTAAATGGGGGAGACCTGTAATCAAGCTAATAAATTAACGAAATCAATTTTGGTGACTGAATTCCGTGCGCTCCAGCGAAGCGTAGGGGTCCTACCGAGTTTTTGATTTAGAAGCATCTGTTGAACTTCCGATAGCGTTGACTGCTGGTTGACGTTGTCAAGTCAGCAATTGAGCGATGAAGTTCAACAAAATTACAGTTTGAGAAAGGACCTTACTCGCATTGCGCATGAGTGTATCGTGGCTAAATCAGGTTATTAATGAATGACATCTTCTAGCGGCATATTGAGAAACCAGCTTTCCTCAGACCAGTCGTAGGGCATACTGATGCCACGTACTCGAACGTTTTCCTTCGTTCTGGTTTTCTTTCGGGCTCATTTCTAAAATATTTTCTATGCAAATAACTATTGTCGAAATCGCAATGCATTTGAAGCTACCATTTTGAGGGATTAAGTTAAAATGTATTGTGCGACGGTATTTTTCTGGTAAAATGTCACCTATTTCTTTCTATTTTAATGTTAGAGTTAAAAACTCGACTAGCTTCAACAAGCAACCTGTTAACAATCGCAATGACCTTTAAATTTACCGGCACAATGCATTTACGAGGATCGTATTGAGACTGGTTTTGTGTCTTTTTAATGAAAACCTTGCCGCTTTCGTAGTCATCAAACAAGGCGTTAACTGAAGATTCAAGTTCGACACACACACACATTTATGTGTATATATATATATATTTACTCCTTTGTAGTAGAAATTGAAACTTGAAAAAGATTAGACACACATCTACTTAAGCTACGAAACAATTTTGCCCACGTACCTTTACCACAAAGTTGAAATGGCATAGTTATTTAACAAAATTATTTCAAAGATATGCATTTTGAATAAAGACACTGCAATAATTTTTTTAACGATTAGAGAACACTCACACGCTTTTTATAATCTTTCCAATCCAATTCAGGACCCATGGCATGGTACCAGAAGTTCGAATACGCAATCGGTCATTGGCTGCAAAAGGCTACCGAGCACATGATTGGTTGTGTTCTCTGTTCACCCGGATGTTTCTCGCTGTTCCGTGCTAAGGTAACATTTTCTTGGTACCTCTTTGATTTACAAGTACGCCTTCAAGTCAAGTGGGTTAATTAGCTGTTACATATTGTTTTGACTATGCACCAGTACTAGTCGTCACCGAGGGTATTCAGAAACTTAACGAAAATCGAATCATATCAACAATAAAACTTAACAAACAAAATTACAGACCCATTCAGAGCATCGTTTGTTTTTGTTTGTCGCAGGCTCTTATGGATGACAACGTCATGAAGAAATATACGACTGAAGCAACTGAGGCGCTGCATTATGTACAATACGATCAAGGCGAAGATCGATGGCTGTGCACACTGCTGCTGCAACGAGGTTACCGAGTAGAGTACTCCGCTGCGTCTGACGCATACACACACTGCCCTGAAGGTTTTGGAGAATTCTATACTCAGCGCAGGCGATGGGCCCCTTCCACCATGGCTAACATTATGGACTTGCTTGGTAAGTGCTAATTCCTCAGACTACTAAATGTTTTTCTCGTGTCTACTACAGAAAATGACAACCAGGTGTTCGCCTCGCATTTAACCATCTGAGGTTGTATCTTTTCTGCAAAGTTTCTGTTACCTAAAGCACGAAACGACTCAGACAAATCTAAACCATTGGTTATACTTCACCTGTCAAAATATCTGTTAAGTATCAATAGCTTATAGCTTAAATGATATTCAAAAACGGATGTGCCAAGAAACATCTTTGTACCTTACAAACTTTTGTCAAATAGAAGAAAAGACAATCATTGTTAACGACATGTTTTAATTAATACATTGAATAAGTTACACCTTTACGATGAAAGTGCCAAGTATCAATAGCTTATAGCTTAAATGATATTCAAAAACGGATGTGCCAAGAAACATCTTTGTACCTTACAAACTTTTGTCAAATAGAAGAAAAGACAATCATTGTTAACGACATGTTTTAATTAATACATTGAATAAGTTACACCTTTACGATGAAAGTGCCAAAGATAGATACGACATAGTATATTGAATTTCAAAATTTAGTGAAGAAAAATATTTTTACAGTTTTATTATAGACAAATACATTCTTCGTTAGCGTTTATGCTACATGTCTGGTTTTCAACTGTAAAAATGCGATGCGCTTGTAGTTGTCCTGCGCCTGCTTTTGTGGTCCTCCTTCTTAACTGGCTTCATCAAGATCAGATGTTCTTCGTATGCTACGTTCTGTTCTACTTCTTCTGTTGGATTCCGGCAAACATTATCTCGTCCACAAGTAGTAGGTTGCTTGCGATCACGGTGCAGGCGGAGATCAGTTGACGCTGTACGCTCCAGTTATCTATGATACCGTCAGCCACAGGATCGCAGGGTTCGCCAGTGGAAAGGTTAAGCCCGACTGGTAGAGGTCGTACTCGGTGATATTGTTCTCGTAACTTAACCAAGGTTTCTTGAGGGTCGAGGCCGGAATTGACGGCCAAAGTTTTCACTATTACAAGTAGAGCTTCAGCAAAAGCCCGAACTCCAAAGACGGCCCGACCCTTCACTTCCTTCTCGTATTCCATCAATACGTAATGGGCAGCAATTTCGAACGCGCCGGCGCCCGCTACAACGCACCCATCCTCAATAGCGTTTTTAACCGCACGTAGTCCATCGTGAACTGCATCCTTGATCTGACTTATGGTGTGCTTGTTCGGGCCCTTAATTAACATAGTCACGCTCCTATTAAAAAAAAAACACACAGAAAAATGTATAGTGTTCAAGAAGCACACCGGTTACAGATAAAAGCTTGAATAGTGGATTACTTAATAAATATACAGCAAGCAAAAAAAGTAAAGAAAGTCTAGAAACTACACGTTAACAAATTTGCGAGAGAACATATAAACGAAAACTAAAAAAATTAGCAGTTAGTAATTGCAAATTACCAGTTACAAATATATAGGGTTTACCTGGGATTATTTAAGCCCTCGATAAATGTGTACTTGTTCTCGCCAAGTACGTGTTCATAAACCTGTCTAGCGAACCCTAGCAGGTCCGGTGTAAGGCCGTCGACGGAATTTACAGCAGTAGAACCCGTCGCTAATGCCAAGCGTTCCATATTACGTCTCTTTGCTCGGCGCAGAGCCATGATACCCTCCTTGGCCAATAGATCAAGCGACATTGGGTCGATGCCTTGTTGATTAATAAGTACAAAACCTTTGCTCTTATCGTTGCCACAAACCTGCTTTTTTAACTCAATAACCTTCTTCACACGCTTCTCGATGAATTCTCGCTCGGCCTTCACTAAATTGTTACGTTCTTCGGCACTTTTGTAAAAAAAGCCGGAATTGACCTCGGTCTTCTCATATTCCATGGACACGTTTGCGGTTAAAATATAGGCATTTTGCACAAACTTTGGCATATCAGGATGCCGAGATCCGTGGTCAAGTACAAGGCCCTTAACAAGCTTGGTATCTTTATTGGTCTTGTGTTGCATTTCCATTATTTCAACCATATGCAAATTAACAGGCTCATTATCCTTTTTAATAGCGAGAACGGCATCGACACAAGCCTCAGCGAGGTGCTCGGCCAACTCATTGTACACTTTCGTCGACAGTGAGGTACGTGCTACCTGCAGAAGCATTTCCCGATCGACTGGCTGGGTTAGCTTCATCTGGTCAAGCACTTCAAGCGCCTTCGTCTGAGCTAGATCGAACCCATCGACAATAACTCGCGGGTGAAGACCCTCCTGTATGTGAAGGTGGGCTTGTTTAAGCAGCTCACCAATTAGCAATACTGTCGATGTCGTCCCATCACCAGTAATATCATTCTGAGCCGTAGAAGCCCGAGCAATTAGCGCAGCTGTCGGATGCTGTATCTGCATCTCATGAAGGAGCACAATACCATCCTTGGTGATTTTGATATCGCCTGCGCCCGAAATCAGCATCTTCATCGTGCCCTTTGGTCCGAGATTGCTTTTCAACACATCCCGCAATCCGAGTGCGGCGTTTATATTGACAGCCAGTGCTGTATGAGACCGAGCAACTTCAGCCTTCGGGTTTAGTCCTGTAAGCGCTGCCATCTCTTGTGAACTACACTTTCTGTCAGCGTAAGTTATTTCAGTTATCACACTTCGCTTTACACACTGCAGACTCTAGAATAAATAACAACGCTGCTAAAATTACCAGGCTCGTGAACGAAATGCCAAGGAAGCGGCGTGCACGCGGCTAGTTGGTTCGGTTCCAAATATGGACGGAACCGCTTCCATTCAAAATACCAAATACGTTCTCTGCAAAGTGGGTCGATGTCTGGTATCGAAAACGTGAACCCGCGCAGATTTGAACCGAATTTTCATCGAGGCAAGTTAGACTGGAACGTTCTGTGGTGCTCGCAGTGGCTGAGTGTTGCGTATGCTGTAGAGATAGGGCTACTTCTCTTTCTAGCGGTCTAAGCGATGTTGGTCATAGGGGGCCGATACAACTGGATTTAAAACCTTCTTGCAATCCGGCTGCACGAAATGGCCCGTTATAAATCAAGATTTGGAAAGTAAATCATATGGGGCGCTATAAAGTCTACAAACATCACATATAGAAGTGCTACCGTTATTACCATTCGAGATACATACTATTTTCGCTAGTTTGTTTAATATAAGCTCTTATGCTAAATTGTATACTAGTGTTATATATATTACTTTGATTTTTATTTTACCAATTTGCCTAATTTGGTTAATTTATAATAGTTTTACTTACCGTTCCGTTATTTATTGATACTTATCGTATCGTAAAGCTTCAGTTATAGAGGTCGTCGGACTGCTTATCGTACATACACCCTGTTAATAATATACACTAATTCATAAGCCAAGTCGAAGTTCTGAAGAAGCACTCAATATAAATCGCTTGCCATGCTGAAATGAAGCCAACTTTTACATGATTTTTATAAAAAATTTACATTTCGAAAAATAATTTATTGTGCCTCATCAAATTAACCATTAACTTTTGGCTTATAAATTTATTTTGTATATTCATCTTAATATGGATGTGAAAAGACATAGCCGGTTAATATAATAAGGTTAAGGTTGGAAATAATTTTATATTTCCTATTAACACACACTTGAAAGATTTACGCAATATTTACAAACGTACTTACAGCGGATTCTCTTTCCGTCCTCGGTCAGCGTATATACGTTTTGCGTTCACATTTACCGTTAGCTTCGATCGCTGTCAGATTCACGTAAGCTAATAGAAGGAGCTACTTAATGATACCCAAGGAGATTATATAGGGTTGGCCCTTTCGATCCATCAAGTATATTCATTCTCTCACTGGCCCTATCAACCAGAGAGTTAGCTATGCGATCAACTTCCGCGATGCCGGAAAACCGTTATATCGGAATGCTAAGTAAATGTGTCGAGTTTTACGTCCAACACTAGTTTTAAGCATTGCTTGAGAAGATTGGTTTTTGAGCGTTAAACATAGCGTGCCTACAGCCGGTTTCGATATTTTTTCTTTTTTTTTATAATACTGCATTTGCGTACGACTTGCACATCTGGTGCTATTTCTTCCTATAGTCCGTTTGATGAGTCTGATGATGGAACTCGCCGCAAACGGATGAAACTGCACTCTGACGGTGCAAAACACGGTAGCACGCGCTACCCTCGTTGTTATTTCCTCTGAGGCTTGGAACTGCTTTGAAACAATACTTCAACTTTTTTGAAGAAAAGGAAAAAGAGGGTTATTTCTTTATTTTGACTCTTCTTTTCAAATTTCGTGAAGCTTGTCCCCAAACCTCCTCCTCTCGTTGCTTCAGGTTCTCCTTTCTTGCGCATAATGGTTCCGAAAAAACTTGCTTTTCAATCCATCCGTTTGCAGATTCAAGCATACGATCAAGCACAACGATCTTGACGATGGTCCAACATCTACCTCCTAATATGTCTCTGCACCTTTTTCTAAGGGCTTTTCATTCAAACACAGTGTAATGCACCTCATCTGTTTCACCTGACACGCATGATACGCATATACCGTACTACGTTTTTTTACTATCTTTGTTATGTAGGTCTGATGTTCGGTCTGGTTTCGAATCTGAACCACCTTACTAGCCTACACTTACTCTCGTAGGTAAAGGCTTTACCCCTGCGCTATCACAAGGACATGTTGAGTCACAAAAGGCGTAGAAACCGACTCTTTGTTTACTTCAGAGAACATCGCAATAAGCAGAGATGTTCGAGCAAGCTGGAAACAATAAGCTAGCAGTTGAATGGGTAGTGGATGACGTAGACATCGAGGGCGGGCTGTATTCGGTGCCAAGCACGAGCGTCGAGCCCGCTACTGAAGGAACAGGGAAGAAGTTTGCGCATTTGGGGGTCGCCACTCTCGATTCGGCCATGCTTTCCCTACAAAAAGCGACGAGAAGAAAAGAAATACCGAAATTGTTAGGGTGAAATGCAGGGTAACAGCAAAAGATTAGGGTCAGCCTGGTCTAGGGTAGGTCGAAAACAAAAGACGGGTAGAAGCAACAACAACGTCGGCGAGCTCGGTGGTCGAGTGCGACGACCGAGCTCGTCGACGTTGTTGCTGCTGTTTGGCTAATTACACTCGATCGCCACTTGTGCGTGCGGTGGTAGCAGGTGACGGATATTAGATTTGACCTTCGTCTGACCGGCATCCATTCAAACAGGTTGATCGTCTATTAAGACTGCCTTTACTACCATATACTATTATGCTTCTGGCTCCGCATCTCGTTACACAAAGAAGGAATAGAATCCTGGTTAGTACTACTAGTGGAACAAAAATAGATAGGATAGAATTGACCAGGTTCGATGGGCACTAGCACATTTGGTTAATGCCGTGACTCATTTTCTGTGAGGATTCAGCTAAACATGCCAAAAACTGTTGTGATTATTACAAGTTGCCTATAGAATGTTCTTTCTTCTATTGGTATCTATCGTACTGCGAATGGCAGTTGTTTTTTTCAGCAGCTCTGTATCAATTGTCTAACCTACGACTGCCTAATTCTGTATTATCCAGACCTTGACTCTGTATACTGCAGTCTTATATTTAGTCGAATACAACGTAGCTTCTTTTCTGATAACGATATTAGTTATTGTGTGCAGTTCTGTGTGATTACTAGGCTCTATATGGCCACACGCACAAATATTAAAAGCCACAGACGGATAGATGCGCGTGGTAAGGCGGTGGTGGCATGCTATTACGCTCAAACAGGTAGCCGAACCGGTACGTTTTAAAAAAAAAAAAGGCCTAAAACGCACGGAGTAGACTTTGAGATATGAAACAGCAACCTCACTTCCGCTGCGGTCGGATCAGAAGTGAGAAATTGGGCCCGTAATCCATTGACTTTTACGCATTTATCATCGAGGTTATGGTTTCGATAACGCGATCGGTGTCGTTCGAGTCTTGAATTGAAAATAAATAGATCGAGGAAGGCGACTAACAGCAGTGATCTTCTATGAACTGATGCAAAAACTAGTAGTTCCTCCAAGAATATAACGGCAAAAAGAATACTGACAAACACAGGGAAGGCTCAAGACACAGGTTGGCTTGTTTGGAGGCACACCATAATTAAAAAAAGAAAATGGTGGTTCGTTTTAAATAGGAAGAGGCTCAACGTGCCAGTTTAAAGAATTTCACTCTACGAAGCGACCTCATATTGCGTATCGCTACGGTATTGTCTGCTCAGATGTGAAGTCTGGATGAGGGATTTAAGGAGCTATTGAAATGAGCATGGCTGGTGCCATAGGCATGCAGAAAATAATCTGGCTTTGGAATTACACAACTAAAATAATAATAATTATCATTATTGGAATTGTAAAAAAAAACAGTATCTTTGATCGTTCAAGCCGCTGGTTCAGGATATTTTAAAGTATTATTAGGAAATTTTTGATCCGTGTTATCGGCAACAAATAGAAGCTCTCGTAACTCGATGTACATGATCAAATATAATTATGTACATTGTTGATATTCAGGCAGTTTCCTTCGTAGTCCGAATACAATTTAAGATGATCTCCATGCCTTTCCATAAGTCGAAAGCACCGGCAAGAGAATGAGTACTTATAGGCCAGCGCAGTACAACTAACCCGGTGGTGCCGAATGAAGACTTTGAGCACGATGCTCGAAGAAGGCTGCATGAGTCCGTGGATAGATTCAGTAACGTAGATGTTGTGCACTTACACGAAGAATTAAATACATCAATGTACTTAGGTCAATTGATTAGTTTGCGTATCATAGATTATTAAACCTCAATTAGCCATAAAATCGTGACGTTCGCTAGGAAGGAACTGCTTAAAAAGTATGCGAACGCCGGTCGCTGCACCAAGTGCTGAAGCAGAAGGAGAATATTCGTTAAAGGACATCATCTCCTGGGCCGGACAATGTATATGTTCCAATAATTCAAAATCCTCATTTTTTACTTTATCTTTCGTTATATTTACGGTATACAAGAAGCAGTAAAATATTACAATTTTTTTTTTATCTTGAACGCATCGCATAGTTTCATTATGATTAATAGTGGGTTGATAGGATTAACAGAAAATCACCTTAACTAATTATCCACTAAACTTGTATCATTTAAGGAAAAGTGCGTCAAATTCAACATATAGATGTTATTGAGGCGTAAGACTTTCGTCGGCATGCTACAAACGTCGTTTCCTTTGTTCGTAACTTTTTTCCTATTGTCAATTCCACTGCAACCAGCATTCGGATCATAGTATAACCTGCGTCTCCACTTCTACTGATCCCCGCTTTCACGGGAATCAAAAGCCGAAAGTATGAGAACGGGTCAAATTGGGTTGAAGCTATGTTCCTTCTGGTTAGATTTGCCCAATAACGCTTGTTCTTGCAGCTGTTTCCCATTATTGTTGATTAACATTGATGAAATTGGTAGGAACAAGTTGATGAGAGGCGTAAGCAAACTAAATTAGTTTAATGCAAATGTACAATAGATAATACATTAACAATAATAACGTTAATCTAAAACGCTTTATCTTAATCCGCTGATAACGTATTTTCAAACTATTCCTTACAGGCGATTATAAACGTACAGTAGCTATCAACGACAACATCTCACTGCCGTACATTATTTATCAGGGCATGTTAATGGTCGGAACGATCCTTGGTCCTGGCACCATCTTTCTTATGCTCGTAGGAGCTATGGTTGCTTCGTTCAGGATATCTAACTGGGATTCCTTCTACTACAACTTCATACCCATCCTGTTCTTTATGGTGGTGTGTTTTACAATGAAAAACGACGTTCAGGTTAGTCGAAATTTATCTGTCTATTAGTTTTTTTACGTTCAACAATTTGTTGAACGACACAACAAGTTCTCACACGCATCGTAAGTTGACTTTAGGACAGAATCGTACCGTGCCGAGGCCGGCGAAACCTCGTAATGCTAGCTGGAGAACCTATCGGACAAGGTTTCGTAATATTCCATTTCAGGCCAGGTAGCCTCTATGTGGTTCTGTATGATACGAAGTGAATCATGTGCATCCACATATGTTTTTAAAAACAATGTGTGTTTTAAAAACAACAACAATTTTTAACAACACCTCCATCGTCTAGAATAAGCCTTTCGAGTCAGGCTGTTTCTTCAATATGTTGAACGTGTGAATGTTTCCAGAAATTTAAGTTTACAATAGCTTTCTCGCCAAGCCAATCTATATATGTAATTTTGATGTCACTTGTTTAACTTAACATTTCATATACTTCTTGTCGTAACGTTTTGTCATCAACAAAAAGGTTCCTGGCCCACGTGTCTATTCAACGCAAGCGCTGCTCACCTCGATTACGATCTGCTGATTGTAACTGGCATTCGCTTGACTTTGGGACCTAAACCGTACACGAGTTATCCTCAACAAGTTTTTTAAATCCAACAATACGTTCGATTAAGAGAAAAAGTTCTTATCAGAATCTGAAGAGTAAAACATTAGCTCGTGTTGACTCCTTGAAGTTTTACTCAAAGAAAAAAAGGTCCCTTGGGACGGTACAATCACCGAGCATAATGCTATTTAAACCTACACTAGGACGACTTTTCTCAATTAACTGTCTTCTTGTTTGATTTCACTTGGCGTACTTGTGAATCGTGATATCGGCATAAATGTTACTAAGTAAAAAAAAAAAAAGCTAATGTTACTTGACATTTTTAATATACACTCTAAACAATGGTTATATTTCGAAGATAGGTCTCGAACTCTTTTTGGTTTTCCATGGATTTGGAGAAGTATTCTAGAAAAATGACGTAGGTCGAATGAACGCTGAATAAATACGTGAGAATCACAGATCAGATCGGCAAATCTCGCAGTTGACACAAACCATTTTTCTATTTATATCTTTTAGTTCTATTTTCTACGTACCCTATACGCTGTTCTCGAGTATAGGATAACACTAACTAATAAATAGGCAAATGAGCTATTGACTAAAAGTATATATAAGTTCCTGTTATCAGGTTCAGTCGAATGAGATAAAGTGCTCGTGTGACCACAGTTTGATACAATCCTGTACGTTCAGTTACGTACAAGATAACTTGAAACACTGCAAACCAAAGTAGACCTGATGAAATTGGCAGCAATGTAAGTAGTAGAAAAAAGAGCATTCGTATAAGCCCCATGCCATCGGCTAACGGGCCGCTATCCACATCCGATGTGCAGGCGCAAAGGGTTCACTTAAGTTTCTGCTCATTAGGAGAGCATAAATGCATCATCATATCATTTAACACTACGGCAAAAGCGGCTTCCATCTGTGAAATAAATGCCGTGAGATCGTTTATGGCTGTTAACGAATTGCTTCGACTCTAAAATTAGTTCTAGAAAACTTGCTACATGTAAAACATATTGAAATATATGCCGTATTAGAGTCACATGCTCCGTACGTATATCACTGTATCATGCGGAGCGGTCACCTGGCCATTTTTGCAGGGTAGCTAGTTGGGCTGCTCAAAATGCTCAAAAAAAAAAATGCTTACGACGCAAAAGGATTGAAAACAGTGATCGACTATTGTACATCTACTAATAGCCTACTTGTGCACACCGACATGCCATTGTGTACTGAATATGCATGTCTACTGTTAATTTGCGTGCAATATGAAATTCAATCTTTGGAGGTGAGCCAAAAGCATTTCGATAATTAGAAAAAGTTACTTGACAACTTCGTAGTTTTAGCTTCACGTTTTTACGATCACTTTTATGACATGGACTCTTGCTGCTCGGTCAAATGTAGTTTAACAAACGTACGAGTAACTTTTGCACCACTCTATATATATATATATGTATATATGCACGTGTTTACTGCTGTGTTACGACCCTCTGATTCACTGTAGTCATCATACCCTATTTTTGGCTAGGTGTATCGGTTCGATCGTCCATTGCCTACCATTGCGGTGTAAGGGATGCGCCCTCGTCCTCCGAATCCTCACAGCGTCCATTGGCGCCCTGATAAAATTGGCAGACGTACAGACATCACGTCGTGCTCGTTCGACGTTTTAGACGTTTAATACGTTCGTAGTTATGAACGCATCTTTTGGGTTACTCGTACAGCTTGAAACGGGCAGTGGAAGGTTGTCAGACTACAAGTGCCAGCAGTCAGCTTTCTGCCGTTGACCGCGTTGGGGAAAACGGAATACCATCCGAAAAACGCCACTGAGCAGACCCCAAATATATAGAGAAAAAGGAGGTTTTTGCTGAAAGTTCGCTCATGAGCAAAAAATGTTCAGTTCAAGGACAGCCAGATAGCTGGCGGCCAATTGCTGACTCGTACAGGCAAGGAGCTGTTAGTCTCTACGCTCGTATATGTGCGTGACCCTTCGCCGTATCTTCTCGTTGCTGCACAACGACGTCGACCGTGACGGACGAGGCGAGCAGGCGAACAAGGGGTCCCCGAGGACGTTTACGGCTTCTTATCTAAGCAATTCTGATTCTGCTTCTTTTCCGTTGAACCGGAGCGCTGTGACGGTAGCGGTCGCGTTTCAAGCGCGACAGCAAGAGCGCTTGCCAACCCATTCCTTCCGGAGTTTGGGTAGCGGAACGCGATAGATTGCGAAAAACAAAGAAAGTGCACGAATCGTTGCCCATCCTTCGACGTCATCGCAGCTGAAAACGGGAGAAAGGCAATGCTGTTAGTCAACATTGGCCCAATCCTATGCGATGGGCGGGTCGACAGCCATGACCATCGCACAGTGTCCGATCTAGGCCATACCGCTTAGCCAGAGTTTGCCTATAACAAAACTATATATATACACTTATATAAGGACTTTGCTTGCTTTTCTTCGTTGCAACTGCTGTTTATATTACGCCGTCATTGTGGACAGCTATAGCTAGGTGTCACAATAGTAATACGCAGCTCGGTCTCGATGCGGTTTGTATTTGAGCAGAATAGACAGTAGCGAACGTATGGGCAAGGCCGCATGTCCACGTACTACGTATACCGCGACACACCGGTACCGTGGAAGATACAGATGTATCGCTTTTATCAATGGAAAACACAGAATATAGCCCACGATCACAGTATCGAGACATTGTATTATATACAACGCTTCAGCATGGGGTCGATAAGTATTGTTGATTAAAACTGAGTATAGAATCGTGATTTTCATGTTTGCACTGTAAATTCATTAAAGACGAAAACAAACGTATAGATCTGCTGAGACATTAAAATCTGGCAATCTAAGTAGGTTCATTATATAAGGTCTACATGTAGAGGGAAATACGCAAAGCAACAGAATTTGTTCTTGGATAAGCTATATTTTCTTTGACTTACGTAGCTTTTCAAGTTGGTCGAGCCAAATCGGGGGATAAACTCTGGTCAAGAACCCTTGCAGAAAGAAGTACCGATACACACCCCTCATTAGAATCGTGGGGTAAGAGGACCGAAGTTTTTCTTCACAGTACATGAAGACGGAAGGGGAAACTAAAGTATCAGTTCGGTAAGATCTAAGTCTGCAGTTAAAAAGAAATAGGCTTTCACTGCCGAAAAAGTTAACTAGTAATTTATAAGCCTGCTTTTTCCTATAGTAAATTCATCTTTACCTTCCACACATCTGCGCAACTGAAGACATGAGCTCGACAAAGCTGTTGTATAAGCATCTAAATGTCTTTGTAATCAAGAGTGTACAAAATGAAATTTTTTTACTGAAGATAAATATCATTCACCTAATTGAATGTCCTTTTATTACCGCTTTATTAAGAACCATACATGTTTGTTTTAAGATGATCTTTTAAAGGACCTTTTCATCTACTAAAGTAGTTCCGTTGAAACGGGATCACAAAGAACGACATTTCAGTTATCGATGCAGGTCAACAGGCAGAGCCTTCCATGCAATCAGGCGGTGATAAGGATTTGGTCGAAATGATTTTGTTTGTTTGCGAAAGTCATCATTAGGTTATTTATGACAGCGAGTCCTTTCAGATCTAAAATGACTAGACAGTATTTTATGGATCATAAGCCAGAATATTGCCACGTGCTAGGTAACAACTATTTTTTTCAACCATTAATTTTAATTCGCTATACCTGTACGCTGCAAAATTAATACATTGAAAATACTTAATATTATAAGTTGAAATGTATATTTCAGAAATTTAATCGTAAACAGACGAGCATTATTGTTGTCCTAGGATCTAGTACAAGAGGGTCAAAGTTCATTTGAATTCTGTGTTTACTTAAACACCAATTGCATTATATCTATTCGATGGTCAAATATATATGATTCCCAATGGGTGCTGTTTATGTTTAATATCAATACTTTCAGATTTTAATAGCGCAGATATTATCGGCCGGCTACGCCTTGCTCATGATGGCTGTGATGGTCGGTACGGCAATCCAGATCACCGAAGACGGTGCCGGATCACCTTCAGCCATCTTCCTTCTGTCGCTATCGGGCTCAATGGTCGTTGCGGCACTCATGCATCCACAGGTCAGTATTTATCTATCATTTAAATGCAGATCACCCCTTAAGTAACGTATGCAGAACAACATGTTAGCAGTGCTTTTTACATGTTTGAGACGTTCACGCAATATAAAACTGCCTTCGATTCTAAAAAGGATACAAACGTCTTATTAGTCTCGCTTATTAGACGTTCTTGCTCTTGTTTATCGCAGACGGGTACCCAATGCATAGCAACAAGGAAAAGTCGTTTCACACTTTGACAGTCATCACTTCTTTTTTATTCCTTTCTTTTCCATAACTATATCCGTTGCTGTTTTAACTGATACCGGATAAGCACCCTCAACCTTTCAGGCAACTTTTTCAAAATGTTCCGTGTTTCAGAGCGTGTTCAAACCGAAACTACAAAAGTCTCTAAACTCAAAAATGTATAGACATATAAATCGTCTTCTTAGCTCTATGTGGCACATCTATTAGTCTGACCATACATAAAGCTTTAAATGTACTATAGATATAATATATATATATTATATCTATAGTACATTTTCAAAGAGATTCTGCCGATAGATTTGGGTCAGCGTAGGCGTGAGCTGAAAAACAGAAATATTGACGCACCTGCAAAGTATATTATAGATATAATTGCAAAGGAAGTAATTCCAGGCATGAAAATTGCAAATGGTCTTCGTTCATGCTATCATTGGTGCAAGTCAATTGGTTGTACAACCAGCAACCCTTGTATCCTATTACTGTCACAACGGTATCAGCATGTCGTAATAACCCGTACCCGCAATAAGTGCGTACGTGATACACTTTATCATCCATACCTACATCTAAATTTCACGATGACACCCAGATCTTCCGATGCTATATGCATTTCCCTTAATCATTTTCTACGTTCCCATGCCGTCATCCTATCTCCATCATTGCAGGTTTCGCTTTCGTGCACAGTTTTTGCTCGCGATGCTCCCTTTTCCTCTCATTACCAGAAGTGACGACCCAATGTTCATCCATCCAATGTTCAGACACAAAAAAATGTCTGTGTACTTCAGCGTATCATAGCCACCTGCTACAAACAAGACCTGACAACTGACGTTTCCCGTCAGCTGTGGAGTGCGGGCAGACGAACGCTATATTGTAGGCGCCGTTTTTCCCGTTGGCTCGACTTGGTCTACTCGTTATGACGGCCGAAGCAGCGGCAACAGCGGAGACACATAAGGGCTGCAAGACATTTCTTCGTCATTCTCCAAAACTGTCGAAAACTGTTTCCGAGATCTGACGAATGAAACGAGGCAGCTTGACGCTGGTGGCAGGGTTTGAAGGAAGATCCAGATGTCCTGGACATTCGGTTTGGATAAGCATGAGTCTGTCTGTGTGTGACCTGCTCGCGCTCTCTATTCTCGTATCATCGACGGGCAGCCTGTAGGCGGCTGTAACACCAGCAGCAGTAGAAACAGAAGCGAAGAGTATTATAAGATAATAGTGACTGACGCCCATATATGTCTACGTCTGGTTTTTTTCGGTTCATCTCTCAACCCGCCTCTCGGTGTCCGTTTGTCTATACATCCTCGTGACTCTCGTGTGGAACAGCTTTATGTTCGAACGAACCCCCAACTTAACGGGATGTTGTTCGGCGCTTTTGGGCAGAAGGAAACCGCCCGGTGTGGCTTTTGGATTTGCTTGTTTCAAAACCAGGCCGACCTATCATATTGCTTACGTGGTTCCTTGACACCATAGAAGAAGGTATATGTTTATATTGAGAGGCGATGACAGCCGCCTCGACCGAAGGAGCGAAGTCATCCGTGGTTTTTGTCGACGCTTACTTCGTCCTGCTGCCGACGCGATCATCGCCCTAAGTCATCGAAAGCCTAGAGTCGATAGACTCGACACGAATCGACAATCACCATGGCTCCCCAAAGCGACGGTAAGCCGGCTAACAGAACAACCAGGAAGCCAGCCCTTCAGATCTTGTTTTTAAACGTAGGATACGAAAAGCCTGAAAAAAGAGCGACCCGCGATGCGTGACAAGCTCTTGCGATAAAGGAGAGTCGTGAGATGTGCGCGTAACACTTCGTCTTAAACTCGCACTGAGCTGAAGTTGAAGTCAGTAAGTTTTTTGAAATGAAGCAGCGGCGAAAGCTCGTACTCGAACAGCCGACATTGAACGCGGTTCGTGTTTATGAAGGAGGAGATGGTTTCGACGTGGAGTGCAGCAAAATTAAGTGACGTCAGTCAGCTCGCTCGGCACGATTTTGACCTCGGCCAAAACTAGGAGCGGTTGTATGGGGGAATACACAGATTTGCGACAGCCATCCACGCGATTACAGCTCTATAAGCAATTCGTGGCCCCGCTCAATCCTGCTGATGGGCGCTTTCTGCTGTCTACTTTGTTTGGCACTGTATAGGCCTTACTCGTATGTATTTTATCTCGAATATTCCTGATGCATGTCGTCTGGATCCAGCCTCATCTTTGATGATGAATGAAGCTCCTACTCCTTACGGCTTCACCCTTCCCGGTGAGATTAGCCGATAGCCAAGTCGACGATAGACAAGTGCACAAGGAAATGAAAGAGAGAGAGAGAGAGAGAGAGAGACAGCACGTATATTTAGCAAGAGATTGTTAAAAAGCTGATAAATAAAAATTCGACTTCGTTGGAGCACTCACCGGAACGTGAGCACTGCTAAGTGTTTTGTTTGATCCAGAGATTAAGACTCGTGACCCAGTCTCGTACAATCCACTATCGACGGCCACTTGAAGAAGGAGAAAGCCTGAAGGTCTGACGAAGCAAGTGGGGCCTGGTGTGAGTATGAAACAATACAAGACTTTAGAGGGAACGAGACGCGGGTTGTTCTTTTAAGCGATAAGTTAGAATAAATAGGCAGGCGTGATATGGGAAGATGGCTGGAATCGTTTGTGTTACAGTGTTAGCAAGGTGAATTTAAGGGCTGAAGGACCTACTGGCTGTTGTGCCTATAAGCTAATTGTAGGTCATCAGTTGGGCAAGGCCGTCATACATGGATCTGCAATCAGAATCAAGCAAGTAAATTTGTTCGAGTTTGTTTTTCATAAATTACTTCTTGCCAAAGAAAAACATTATGATACAGGCTATAACTACAACAGGCTTGTGTGGCAATGGTTGGGCGTAAAAAATCGTGTCTTATTTTGAAACTTACTTAATTAAGCACATGGGACTTTTACCTGTCGTCCGCGTGGTACAGACCGCACGGCGCACTGCCTTTGTGCATCCACAAATACACCATAAAAGTATGGCATGTTTTTTATTTATTATTTAAACAAAAGCACATTTTTGTTTTTCCGTTTCAGTACTAAGAGCACATCTTAGGTACAAGCACCACCAAAGCAGTGTCTTGATAGATGTTCTTGATTTAAGAAACAGTTTGTTTCTAATAGATATCGTGCAGTGCGTTCTTTGGTGTAGTGTACGAAGGGTTCGAATACTAGGAACGACCTTATCATTTTTTTTGCCAAAAGTGAATTCGTCACGATGTCATGTGTCGACGGAACAATGCACTACACATTATTGCCCCTGAACCCCCATCTGCCCTTGCTCGTTCCAGATGCCGCGATTTTTGCGCCTGTGTCCGACTCTGCTATCTCCGTCCTTAAATAAGCAATTTGCTATTTTTACAGCGCGGTACCCAGAGGTATTGTAATGGAAGCGGCTTATTGCATATTCAGTAAAGTTGTCGCACTTAGAGCACAGCTAAAGCAATTATGTAGAATAACCCAGAAAATAAGCAATCGTATCAAATAATTAAACTAGGCGAATCCTACTTTGCGCTTATGTAGGAACGGGTGCCCGAATGGACTGAACCTCTTTTTGTTTGCCATACCCAACACAGCAGCGTGAGCATTTTTTAAAAATAATCTTGCTTCTTCTGTAATTTTTCCGAGTCACGTGTCAGGCTGAAGCCGCAGTACCTACCCATGCTATATCAAACACAATCGCTTATACACTGCACTTAGACTAATGTTGTCACAACAACAGCATTGGTCACATTATCCAGTCTTTTCGCTGCAAACCGAATGAGCTTGCAATGGCAAAGGCTATAAATTAAGACATAAAAAAAAAGTAGACATATTATTATTGAAGAACTCATTATAGAAGGTCTTTAATTTACATGGATACGGCTTCAGCTGTAAACGCGCTTGTTGCACGATTGGAAGTTTAGAGATTTCCTAATTGTACATTTCAATGTTTTTCTTGGTGGGGCAATATTTACCTCACCTTGCACTCGTATATTTATCAAAATTATAAACTTATTTCTACAGAATGCAAAAGATACTCTATGCTAAATGTGATGTGTTTGTCATTGTTTTTGTATAGGCTAGACTTGGCTAAGCACATAAGGCAGCAAGAAAGCCTTCTAGCCTGGAATAGGCAACTGGCGATTGTATTTTCTATACCTGAAAGAGGCATTGGGGGTGCATAACTCATTTGCTAATCGATGTGATAGTCGTCTTTCCGTTCGAAAAAAATAGTTACCGAACGGTGTTATGTAATGAAGCTAGACTATATATCCGTTACTTGGGTACGAATGCAAAAGACGTTCATATCTGCCTTCGCGGCCCCTGCAATTTGGTTTACGTATACTGATTAGTTCAAAGCGCTCGTTCGGCCGATACGTTATGCTGCTGAGAACGGAAACAAGCGGGGTATTTGAAACAAATCTGTTCGTACATGAACGTATTATGGAGAGGCGATTTTCGTCGGTGTGGCTATCATGATATCTTTCTGATTTCAACAATAGCAGGGGAACGAAGAATGTATCAAGTGGGCGTAAGATGAATTAAACGTACATGTTTTACGCACTTGCCAACGAAGCTAGAGGCAAAAAATAAGAAGATGCGAAATTCGAGCAAAGGAGGCAGGGAAGGGGAAAAAAACGTAGCAGACGACGATCATAGTATAAATAAGAAAAGTAAGGCGTTCTAACCTTTGTTTAATGCCTTTAAAAGTTTCAGAGGTATCTGCCATGATGAAGGCAGTAGGTCGAGGCGCATAACGTTAGAGACTGATGATCTTTTGGTGGATTTTAGTAGCCACAAGGGAAACCTATTGACAGACTTTGAGGCCTGCAAAGATTTTAGCATTCTGCCAAAATGTAACTCATAGGTATCATCAGACCAAGTGGTCGCATTTATCTGCAACAAGATTAATGACCGATTTTTCTTTATATCCCTACTGTTGTTGCTGTTCTATACCATCGGTATTGTTACATTTGTAGTAGTTACTGCCGTGACGCAGTGACGTGATACAGAGTTCGATATAAGCATAGAAGTAGAGTATCTTGACCTCTCGTTATCCATGTATATATTCGAAAAACCCATAGTTGCCCTCTAAGTATTATAGCCATTTCACTAGTCGCTTGAGAAGAGACCAGGGATACTAATCAGCGGCATAGTCTAGCGAAAGAGGTCTTGCCGTGGTCTAAATTAGTCCACAAGTCAATTTTTTTTTAGCTGCTTCGGTGGCCATAGCATAAATACCATCGTCGGCCAGCTACGAGGTCATCTTAGGATATTCGAAGGTATGGTAGGATGAGGACATTTCGTTTGCACAATAACGTAGCGAATGTAGAAAATCAATTAAATGCCTTTATAAAAGAGCTTTGCTTGGGTTGTATTTGTTATTAAATAATTGTTATATTTATCTGAAAAATTAAAAATAACTATTAATAATAATCACCACACGTATTACTGGTTGTATCCGTAACTATTTATATTAGCGAAACAGCAATAATGAAAAAAATATAGAGAATATAAAATGTTTAGCCAAGTTTTTTTTATTTGACTACAACATGACGTCATGTAACAATACAAAAATGGTTTCCGGATATATCGTTTCAGGAGTTCTCTTGCGTAATGCCTGGCGTTCTCTATTTCCTGTCTATCCCGTCAATGTACCTCCTTCTTATCTTGTACTCGCTCATCAACCTCAATGTCGTATCGTGGGGAACCCGCGAAACCGTTCAGAAGAAGACCCAGAAAGAACTCGACGAAGAGAGGTATGCATAACAATGAAAACGAACTGTCTCATAGTATATGAAAAGTATATGAAATGAGGAATTCCATCCTCGTTTGAAATCTAAATATCTGTTTTCGGGATTCACCGGTCGCTCCTAATTATCTGATAAAATAGTTCGAGCGAATTACCACTCCAAAAGGTGCTAAAGAGACAAAACACATAGGCAAGTTTACGACTTGCCGTATAGAAGAGCCCAAGTCCATTTCAAGGCCTGCTACTGTCACAGAGAGCACAGAGGCGAGATATTCTCAACCTTAGTCTGAAAATGCAGTTCAGCACCACCAGTACTTCTGGCACAAAAAGAACTATTGAGCCCTACTATTTAACCATTCTGTGAAGAAAATTGGATTTATCTATTCTAGCCTAAGTAGACTCCGGCGTTTTCGCAAGGAAACCCCTTTATTTGTATAAATATTTATACAGACCTACTTTATTTTTTTTCTATCTGAAGTAAAGTTCCCTCGCTAGACTCACAAAAAGGTGGTCTGCCCTTGGTGGACTTCATCAACAACAATAACACTAACCTAAATACATCGTTAACACTTGATCTAATGCGTCTGCGAATAAAAACGCGCTCATTAACTTGATCCTTTGTGCACAACATTGCCATAAGCATAATAAATGCAAAAGTACAATATGAGTACAATAACAACTCTAAGAAAACGTTCTCTTCGCTTACAAGTTACCGTGCGTCGTCATCTGTTGGGCTGTCGTTCAGCTCTCACGCGAATCTTGATTCGAAAGTTAAACGATATTACTGGCAAATTGTGCTTACCAGGATGCAGTTGCTGTAATATCATCAACGGCAGGCAACGTCTTTCCCTATTGAGTCGCGTCGACAGACGGAACCTTGAAAAAGCTGGCAAATCAGAGGGACAAAGGGACGGGAGCGGTAATTGGACCTACATCAGTATAGAGCCAAGCTTTCTAGTACAACTAGTGTCCTCTGGGCGCTCAGTATCCAAAAGCGGCAGACGAAGGCAATGTTCAGCGCTGTTCTTAACAGATTGGGGTGGTTCTGCCGCTGCTGGCAGCAATTTCTTTTGAAAAGTCGGCCTCCCTTGCGGGAGAAGAGTTCCGACAGCGGTTTTGGCGTGCTGCTGTCCATAGCGGTGCTGTGACTGCGGGACACAGGGAACCCCTGCTTACCCTATCTCAAGCTGGAGGACTCGCTCTGCAGCGCGAACATAGAGTAGTATCACGACGCGGGCACTAGATGAGGCTGCGGACGGAGGTGAGTCAAACTGAAAGCTTAGTTTGGGGGAGGAAGAACGAAAAAGGACTTCCGTCTGAGTGAAAAAGGGAACGGTGACAAAGACAGACTGAAAGATAGGAACTAACCTAAAGGACAGCGGATATGGCCCAGAAATCCACTTGTGTGCTCCCGCTTCACGAGTAGTCGTTCCCGATAGCGACGCGAGTGGCCGTCAGCTAGCAAGTTCATAATATTCCGGGCACGTTCAGCAATTCGAGGCTGTGGGCGCCCACTTGGGTAAACGCGGGGCTTCGAACGCCTCCTTACGGCCCAGGCCATGTTATTCTGTACATGAAACGCGCTTAGAGACAGCAAAATGATTTGGAACGAATATGAGAACAAGCAAGAAAAACAAGTTATCTTCTATGCTGGCGTGCTTTTCTGATTCCTTTATGAAGGAAAAAGGGAAATGAGACAAAGGCGGGATGGGTTTGAAGGGGATGCGTCGTCTGCCACAGCACCAGTTCGGTCACCAACGTAGGCGTTGGCCGATTCTGCGGCGCCAGGAGGACTTGCCATTGGGTATTATGCCCGCCGTTATCATCCACATAAAGAAGTTCTGGGTCCTGTTCCTAGTCAACCGCCCTACCCAGGTCAGTGTTAGCTTAGCATAACAACAAACCAGAGGCGGAGATGATTAAGCTAGCGTAATATAAAATTTGGTTCTTCGACTTCCGGACGTCGTCTTTTTTTACCGTACTCACCTGTTGTTTCTCATGCTGCCGATGCTGGAACTCGGCTTGTCCCATTCTATCCCGTTACCTTATTAAGCCTGCTACGTCTTCATTCTAACGCCACCCTAGTTCGGTAGCAGCGGCAGCAGCAGCAACAGCAGAACCAGTAAATCGCACGATCGAACTATTTACGAGCAGGCGAGCGCAGAAACACGCAAGCAGACTACCTATTTGGAGCAGAGCTTTTCTGTTAACTTAATTTTTAAGCCAAATTAAATCTAAGCAAGCGTGAAATGAACGATCGAGGTCGACGAATATAGCTGGGCATGCAGTGTTCTAAATACTCTAATGTATGTGAAACAATTTGTGATAACGTTTTTAATTGATCTAATAATATCTGCGATAATCGCGGAGATGGTAGATGGATACTTCGGCGATTTTGTTTTGGTGGAATTACCGTATGATCAAGCTATTTCGACGGACGTATACAAACCGTTGTTTCGCGGTTCAATACCTGCCAATTAATTCATCATATTGTTATTATATTAAAAGACTTTTCATCAAAAAGTTTCTAAACAATATTCTACAACAAACTATCTATCATCTAAACAAATTATCTAAGTAAACGTAAGAGTCTATTCTTTTTCGGACTAACAGCACAGTATCCGCAGCTTCAAGATAAATATTCAAGTTTTACCCTTAACTATCCATTTATCGCCTTGTAGGGTTCTGTGACGTAGTAAATAAATAGGTAAGCATAAGCATCTCTTCGAGGATTGTATTAGAAACACATTAGCACGGGCAAGCAGGCTTACAACTGGCCAACGAGCAGCTTCTTTTGACTTTCTCTCCTGTACAGGCAGGTGTACAAGTATTGATGGGTCTCAATAAAGATAGGACGAAGATGGAAAGTTAGCTGGCCTGCTGTTGGCAATGCCAAACGCGAACATCGAAGCCAGCGTATCGTTATACTGCTTGTAGTTACATTATTATTACTTCACTGTGCTACACCTGTAATCAATGCTGAACACTTGCCAATGTCTCTAAAGGCAAGCAGGGTTCACCTTTGCGACTTTGCCTAAAAGTTATCACTGCCAAGAGTTGCAGTTTCGGCCGGACCTGTCACATAGAAAAGACGTGTTTGGCTCGTAAAATTTATCTGAGCAATATCCTGTCAGGACTTCGTTTGGTTGTCGCGGAGTGTGTTTCCAACAAGAAGACATGGCTTTCATGTTACAACAACGTCATCAAATCCTGCAAAAGGAAAATGCAAGGGACTAGTAATAGGGTGAGGCCGGATAGGTCTCCACTTGTACGCATAACACATATTCTAGGCATTTAGTATTCATTATATGTAGAAAGAGTTGGCCTAGCGCATCTCACAGTATTTACTAAAAATGAGGTAAGGCAGAAAAAACACGAATAGTTTATCACATTGTTTTTAATCGAACATAGAATAACATTGCAATGCAATACCAAAGGCTATTTTCTTCAAAGGGAAGTTATAGGACCCAACTAAAATAGCCTTGATCGTGTGGCCAGACATCAAACGAAAAGATTTGTAAGCTTTAATTTTTATCTCTGCAACTTCTATACTATTGAATGCGTTTGTAATGTTTTAGTCAGCATATCGTGTATATAAAATAATAGCAAAGGTATATTGCATCAATTTAATTTTACTCGAGTCCGTGCCAATAACTTCTGTGGCACAGTGCCGATATAGAGTATCAGACGCAAACATAGAATAAACGGCAGCTGGTACATGACGATCTGTTCCTAGGTAAGAACGCAAAAGCGTACCTATTTCACGGCTAAAGACACATTACGCAGACTCGTTTACGAACGCTCGTTCCGAGCTGAAGGTTCGGAGCAGTGGACTTTTCTTTAGGCTGTCCGTTAGTATTGTTAATGGTCTCTATGCCCCTCTGTCAATGATCCCACAAATAGGAAAGCGCTGGAAGAAGAGATGAAGAATAAGAAGAACAGAAAATTGCTTGGCCTGTTCGATTTCAACGGCGAGGACAAAGAAGGCATCTTCGGCATGACGAACCTATTCACGTGCATGATCTGTTCAAATCCACGCAACCAAGAAGAGAAGCTTCAACTGGCCTCGATAGCCGACTCGCTAAATTCGCTCAACAAGAAAATTCGTAAGTGGACCTTATAAGTTAATAGAGAAAGTGTGGCCTAGTTGTCCTAATGAAAATAGGTAAGCTTAGCTGAAATATGATGTGGCAATTGCATTATCTCAGGAATGCTAAGAATCATATATTAAGCCTGACTTTTTGAAATGCCATAACAATATTCATTTGAAACGACATTGAACTCTAAAAATTTGTTCTAAAAAGCTTTTTAACGATGAAATTCTGTCTATTTTGAAGCTGCCGCAAGCTGTGGCATTTAGATCTGTACATATGCACGCAACGGTAGAGCATTTGCCTTACGCAAGCCATGAATGTATTAACAGAAAAAAAAAAAACAAACATTACCATTATGGCTAGATACCTGTCCGAAATAGTAAAAGCTTCCAAAGAAAAGTGACCCAGATAAGCGTGAAGAAAATGAAAAAATTACAGAATAGTTGAATGAGCTCGTTGTACGAGATTTATCTTGGCCACGGTCGCATATTTGAAATTTGTTTCTGTTCTTTTCATAAAGAGAACGAAGAGGGAAACAAATTCTATTCTAAGAGTCCGTCTTGAGATCTCTCTTTTACTCGGTAAGTAGGAAGTAAACGTAAAGATCGACTATCTGCAACAATGCACTTAGATAGTCGGCCAAAATGGCTGTGTTTCAGTGGAAGCAACAGAACAGAGTACGTCTACTTAGTACTTACTTACAGAATTTTCAGTCAAAATATATTCGTTGGGATTTAGTGTTGTGTAGATACATTTTTACCACATCCATTTCTTAGTGTATCAAATTGTTTTTGTGCACACGATCCGTGTTATCTGTTTCGAGCGCATTGTCGACCTGTTGATACTGCTTGACTCTAACTAAGGTTGTCTTCCCATAGAAGAATGTTCCGTTTTGCTTTTCAACTTAAACTATTAACAAATTCACATTATCGTAGGAAGGAAGACGATATGAATTGTGTACTCTGTTACTTGCTCAGACCACCCTGTTTTTTTCCCCTTCCCCTTCGGAGTGAACGGATTTTCAATGTTTCAGCCGCATCGAGGAACCTTCAGACTAGAGTATTCTTTGTCACGTCGATTCTCCTTAATTCGTCTCATTATGGCTTTTGACTTTTGGTTAAATATGAGAGTGTGACGATGTCGAACAGATGATTTCTACTAGAAGATAAATTACTACTGTGAATTTGTGCACATTTTTTTTTTGTAATTTAGCAAAAGATGGATTCGCATTAGATGGCCCGTATTTGCTGAATATATTCTTAAGGGGCAAAATTATATCCCGTTTCGTGCGGGTTGGGTACAGTAACGGAAAATTGGTGTGAACGTCCGAGTGGGTATTCAATTCGACTGTATCCTTTCGATGCACGTACAACTATTATCTACGCAGTGGCCAATTTAGCCATATAAACGTAGTTATAAAAACTATCCTTTACACGAACAACACTTAGCTAGACTAAATACACGAATGAGCGTTTGTGATGTGGGTCGTTCTTTATGCTCTCTTATGTATGTCTCCATTAAACAATCTTGAGAAAGTGGCAGCCATTCGCTGGGTAGGAAAATTTCTCTACTCGATCTGAGTATGCTTTAGGTGACATGCAGAACCTCTCTGACTTGGCTGGGACCAGCCCACGCCCGGATTGGCTTACAGGCCTTCGATATGTTACCCTGAGTTTTTAGTATTCCAGCAAAATACAGAGTACTGTCAGAAAACTATAAATTGTGATTATTGAGCAAAGCGTTTCAAAATGGCACATTCTACAGCTGTACCTTCCTCATGTGTACTGAACGATACCTAATGTCGATCATGTACGTACGTTCATTCTTTGTGCAACTGCTATTGATAAAGGTATTTTCATTTCCCGTTAAATCATTTGTCCTAGATCATTTTGGTATATAGCAATAGCCATATCTATTGTCGTCTGCGTTGATTTCGAGTCACTCTCTAACGAAGCGCATTTAAATGTTCGGCTAGCCACAAATTCGACGCGTTTGTACGTGCCCACCTTCATACGATTGTTCGCACCTACGTCGAACTGGACGTCACCATGAGCCTCACTGTTCGGCGAAATATGCATGTTACCATACCACGTAAAATTGCCCTCCTCTGAAAATGTTCTCCATGTTAACTCAGTAAATAGGGCAATGTATCCGTTAACACTATGAGCAGTAACTCGTCCAAATTAAATATTGTGGATGTTCACAAGAAGTAATATACTGTCCATAGCCGTGTGTTGCTTCAGCCTAAACACTACTGGCACAATACGCTACCGGTTCAGATAAGCTACTAAGCACCTAAAGAGCTATTAGCAATTCGATAGAAGTACGTACAATTAGTTGGATAGCATTTTTCCAATCAACTTAAAGTTCAGCAATGACTACAGACCTGTCGCAGCGATCACTATCGATCCAAAAAGTTCGCGAAGAGACAGGCAGCTGGATAAAGGGCGATTTAGAACTGGGCATAGGGGCAGATTGTAAAGCTGCCGTAAAGACTCACAAAGTACCTGAGAGACTTTGTCAAAGAAGTTCAAGTTTGGGCGGATCCTGAACGTACCAATATGGGAAAATGGATCGGCGTCTGCACCATTCGGAATAATTCGAAATTATGCGTCACGAAGCATTAGCTGTATATCAGAGAGATGAGTATAGGTTAGAAACTACTAGCGTGATCTGCATGCTTAACACGTGTCTAGACGTGTATGATGAAATGTTTTGCATCAAGAAGCAAGACGTTTTTGATGCTGGTCTACCCTCAAAGGAGCGCTGACTATCTTAGTAAAATGTATATACTTAACTTAAAACGTTAACAAATACTATTTAACATGTAAAATGTTCCAATATACGTATGTATTTGATCGGACCAACAAATATTCTACAATCTATGCTATATATCTGTTTTAGATAATCGGAACTAACCCATACGAGGAAATAAATATTAAACGAGTCTTTCTAAGGGCTGACGTGTAACAGCTTTCGTTTTATCACAGCCATTTGTAACAACTAATTAAGTTACAATTATAATAATTTTGTTGACAAAATAGCTTTTGTAAAAATATCGTTGAAAGAAATAACACATTTTACCTAAATGTAGGAAGCGGATGTTCTGGAACTCGGTGATGTTAGCCGATTTTTTTGGTTGGGTCACGAGAAACAAGGATCTATTAATAACCTGACTAAGTACAATCGATTCGAAAACAGCGCAGGGAAATTGTCAAAAAAAGGCCGTAGTCACCATAGAGGATGCGCATTTTCTATGAATTGAGATTAGCGCTCTCATCGATATCATCTATAATTCGTTACATATTATGGTTAGCTATTGGGTTTTAAGGTAAATGGTGGCCTGTGATAGCCTGGAAAGGGCTGTAGCTAATAGTACTTGGAGAGCTTTCTTAGATTCGATTAAATTTCACTGTTATTTTACTTGTGTTTTACTGAATAAATACAAGGATTCGGGACTTCCCGCGTACTACTATATACTATTGTACACACGAAATGCTTCTATGTGAAAGTTAATTTTTTCATGAATTACGTATAATTGCTGGAATTTTAGGGATATCCCGAAAATACTCCGAACCAATATCTTGGGGGAGTTGGCAATAAAAATACCCCTGAAATTGGCTAACAAAAAAGCAAACGAGAGGAAAATTATTACTTATTTTTAGTTATACTTTCCGAGATATTCTTGTTTTCTTCGACAGTATGAAAACATGTTTCAACGCAACAAAGAACGTCAAATTATGGTTCATTGTTTTCTGTGAACACGGGCCAATTTTCATTGCTAAATGAAAGACGTTTGTAGACATCATTGCATTAGGTGGTATTTCAATACGTCCTGCCAATGCGAAAACTACAAAAGGAAGGACAATAGCACAACTTATAGCTGCAAACTGGACCAACCTGTATAATCTATTCCTAACGTTGAAAATTATTGGTGTTAATTAAGGTGAGATGAGTATCCTTTGCGTGGAAATAAGGCGAATTGATTTTCCGTAATGATACGACGAGAAAATTGTTGACATAGTTAATATCGAAGGCTAAGTTGGGCCAGAACTGGCCAAAAAAAAAATAACTGCTTTTTGCCTATTTTGCATAATTCAATGAACGGTGTTACGTATATTGAGCAAACGAAAAATCAATGAAAAAAAACTATTTGTATATAGTACCCAAGGGCCTAAGAAAATCTATTGAACTAAGTAGGCAAACACCTATTGTAGCTGCCATCTTTAATATTCAAATGTGATGAAATTCTATGACTATTAAATTAATATAAAAATGCTTTTAATGATGCCCAAAGCTAATTTTCGTACATTTTCTCAAGCTGTTTATTTCTAGTCCAACTAGACACTTTGTGGTATCAATTTTATTCATATAATCGTGTGTTTTTCTATAGTAGACCATAGTGACATCTTTTCTCTTGCTGACAGCTTGGGTAATGAATTAAAAACTGCTCCCAATTACCGCTGGTTCTATTTTTCTAATTTTGTATTGACCTCTACAAGAGTACATATTTCTATATGTAAATTGCTCTGAAATTCGAATGACTTTTATCAGTAAACCTGTCGATGTTATTGAATGATTACCGAGTCCGATTATTCGCAAGGCCGCCCCTAGATACGGCGTGCATAAATCCAGTACGTATTTTAGCCTATATCTAAGCTGTAGTCTAAAGCAGACCGTGGTACGTTCAATAAGTTACATCGATCCGTTAATATATTTGTTTGTATACTTTGTTAATTTAAAGAACAACGCGTTCCGATAACGGCGTTCAAAGTGGCCCGTACTGACGGGCTAAATATTGTGTTTGTATGAAAAGTTCCCAGTAAACTTTGCTATACAGGTAAACTCAAATAATATAATTTAAACGAAAATCGTAACATCCTTTATGTCGGTATTGCTTAAAGCATTTACGAATAATTTGCTTCGTTTTATGTTACAAGTATAATTTTTACGATGAATTTTGGACGATTTCCCTATGGACATCTCACGATTTCCCTGTTTTCCATGTTTGG